AACAGACACTTCTCAAAAGAAGACATTTATGCAGCCAACAGACACATGAAAAAATGCTCATCATCACTAGCCATCAGAGAAATGCAAATCAAAACCACAATGAGATATCACCTCATACTACTTAGAATGGCGATCATTAAAAAGTCAGGAAACAACAGGTGCTGGAGAGTGTGTGGAGAAATAGAACACTTTTACACTGTTGGTGGGATTGTAAACTAGTTCAATCATTTTGGAAGACAGTGTGGCGATTCCTCAAGGATCTAGAACTAGAAATGCCATTTGACCCAGCCATCCCATTACTGGGTATATACCCAAAGGATTATAAATCATGCTGCTATAAAGACACATGCACACGTATGTTTACTGCGGCACTATTCACAATAGGAAAGACTTGGAACCAACCCAAATGTCCATCAATGACAGATTGGATTGAGAAAATGTGGCACATACACACCATGGAATACTATGCAGCCATAAAAAAGGATGAGTTTGTGTCCTACGTAGGGACATGGATGCAGCTGGAAACCATCATTCTGCGCAAACTATTGCAAGAACAGAAAACCAAACACCGCATGTTCTCACTCATAGGTGGGAACTGAACAATGAGATCACTTGGTCACAGGAAGGGGAACATCACACACCGGGGCCTGTTGCGGGGTGTGGGGAGGGGGTAGGGATAGCATTAGGAGATATACCTAATGTAAATGACGAGTTAATGGGTGCAGCACACCAACATGGCACATGTATACATATGTAACAAACCTGCACATGTATACGTATGTAACAAACATGTACCCTAGAACTTAAAGTATAATAAAAAAGAAAAAAAAATTCCTGAAATTAAAAAAATAAAAAAATCAATGGGAAAAAGGCTGATATTGCCCAATAGAAAAACAGGCAAAAGACTTGAATGGACACTTAAAAAAAAAACACTCTCTAGGTACCCAATAAGTATATGAAATGGTACTCCATTGTATTAGTCATTAGGAGAATGCAAATTAAAATCATAATGTGATACTTCTGAACACACATCAGAATGGCTAAATTGACAACGAAAAAAATAAATGCCAAGTGGTGAGAATGTGAAATAACTTGAATTTTCATACACTGTGAATAAGAACGTAAAACAGCCCAGTCACTTTGGAGAACTGAAAGTGTCTACAAAGCTTAATATACACACACCCAGAATTCCACTTGGTATGGTATATATGTAACAGAAAAATATATATATGTGCTCACTAAATGATATGTACAGGTCTTTGGTGAACGTACATATGCTATTCAAATATACAGATTCAGATATATAGTGAATATACGTACATATATAGGAATATATAACATGAATATAAATGTCATGAATATATACATACACACGCATATATATATATACTGAAAATACCCAAATGTCCATTAATCATAGATAGGTTTATTTTAATTTAGTCATCCCATGTAATACTACATAGTAGTGAGAATGAGCCAACTACAGTTAAGTGCAACAGGATATGATTCTGAAAAACATTAAGCAAAAGAGAATATAAAATTCTAGTTTTCATAGTTCGAAAACAGGTAAAACTAATACATGGTGTTTCAAGTCAGAATAGCGGTTACCCTTGAGGGTCTCGGCAGCGACTGGAAAGGGATCCTAAGGGGGTTCTTGGAAGCTACTAATCTTGATCTGGGTGCTGGGTGGATGGTCATATTCACTTCGTAAAAACTCATTAAGGTCCTATATTCATGATACATGCACTTTTCAGGATTTATGTTACAGTTAAATCAAAAGTTTACTTTATAGAAATGAGAGATAATACCAAAGACTATTTGAAAAGCACACTCACTAGTAACCAAAAACATGAATATTTAGATAAGGCATTATTATGACCAATTAAATAAAATCAGTAAGCAAGTATTTACTGAGTCCCTGCTACGTGCCATAAAGTATGTTAGGACTAGGGATACAACAAGACAGACAAATGTTTACTCTTCAGCCTCATGTAACTCACCACTGAAATTTTTTAAAAGAAAGAAAGAAGAAAGATGAGCAAGCCTAAAATGCTAAAAATGAATAATAATGCATTTTTCATGGCAGCACAAACTGATGTTATTCTTTTGACAAGAAATTTGGCACTATATATCACGATATTTAAAAATATCCATCTGCTCAATGAATTATTAAAAAATAGATGCAAATCGTATCTAGTAGATGACAACTACGTAAAAAATACCCTTATGCACAGAAAAAAATGAAAATATATATCAAAATGTCTTTTTTTTTTAATTCACCATTTTCTAAAAGATCTTTAACAAGGTCACATTATGAAAAACAAATCAACCATAATTTCCTATCTAATACCAAAATGCATTTTATATATTAGATATTTTTCAGTATCCTTCAGGGTCTTCCTAATATGTATATTTTCAAAGGGGAGTCTAATGAAAAGGTAAACCCTGTTTAAAAACAAATCAATAGACTTTTTTCTTTATGACAACCTAAATGTTATCCCTACATAGTTATGTGAGAGTTGAAATCCCACAAAGTAAATATCCAACATCAGATTTTTCTTTAAGGAGATTTTAAAACTGCCCACTTTCTCTCAGACATCTGTTTGGTCATAAAATGCCTGGAGGAAAGTAGATATAGAAAGGAAAAGGCTTTTCAACAAATTCACTCTAACACCATTTTCTAATAAGTTTACTGCTGAAGCTCCAGTCTAAAATCAAAAGATTCATTCACCAGAAGAGAAGAAAGGGCATCTCAATAAAACAAAACCAGATATAAAGAGGAGAAAACCTTTTGAATGCATTTCTAAACAAAATAAACATGAAGAGTAATACTAAAAATCTGAGTAATGCTAACCTAAAATAAACTAAGCCATTTTGACTGTCTGGACTGAGGAAACAGTATCAGGAAAAAATCTTGACAAAAATCTAAACCAGACAGAGTAGACAAGAAACTAAAGCCACACAAGAGGAGTCAAAGAGACAGGAGGAAAGTAAGGAGCACCCAGGCACCAGAGCAGGGAAGAGACTAACACTGAGGCACATCCTCTGCATTTGGTCTGCAGGAGGCTGCCTTTGGCATCGGCAGCTGCAGTGGGCTAGGGACAGTTAGAGGGGGTCTGGCACTGAAGCAAAACTTGGTTGTGAATGGACAAGGGCACTGGAGAAAGCCAGACTCCGACAGGCTCACTGCAGGGCTCTCAGGCATGAGGGAGACAAGGGCTCCTGACCGAGGGAGACAAGGGTTCCTGACTGAGGGAGACAGGGGCTCCTGCCCATGGGAGGACAAGAGGCATAAGGAAGACAGCATGAACACAGGATTGAAATTCTTTAGCTGCTGATACTGGGTGGAAAGGTTACACAAAGAAAAGCTCCCCAACCAAGATTACAGACCGCAGATTTATAGCAGCAGCTATGTTTTATTCTCCAGTATTACTGAGCAGCCCACACACAGAAGAAGAGGCAAGCAGTTGGATTGATGACATTAACCTGGAGATGGTGGCCATACAAGCAGCTGAGACAGCTAGGACTGACAGGATAAATGTCAGAGCACAGGACCCGGTGGGGAAGGCAAAGGAAAGTAGCCGTACATAAGGAGAAGATGGAAGATCCAAGTAGAAGCAAAAGGCAATAGGGATACGAGAGGCTAGACTGAAGGATGTCACCAGAAAGTGAGACACTGGAGTCAAATTCTAGGGAGAAATTAACGTAGGGTGGTGGCGTGGTCCAAGGTTTTTATCTTAAGATTAAGCGACTGAGTGGTGACAATCATTATAGTAGAAAAAGTCAAATAATTATATAGCTCAGGGTAGAATCGTAAGTGAAGTTAACCAGGCTGGTAACAGAACCTTGTAAAGAGAGGAAACTATAAGCCAGGTTTCACAGCACTTGATAAAGCAGGTAATTGACTAGGAAATAAATAAAGAAGGAGTGGGAATAGGGTGGCAGAAGCCTCAAGGAGAAAGATTTTGCAATCAAAAAGGCAACCAAAAGATTTCATTTTATATATATATATATATATATATATATTCATTATATATATATATATTCATATATATATATATATATATATATATATATATATATATATTAAAATAAAGAAGGAGGGAATAGGGTGGCAGAAGCCTCAAGGAGAAAGATTTGCAATCAAAAAGGCAACCAAAAAGATTTCATTTTATATATATATATATATATATATATTCATTATATATATATATATTCATTTTATATATATATATATATATATATATATATATATTTTTTTTTTATATTTTTTTTTTTAATTTTAGAGACAAGGCCTTGCCATGTTGCTCATGCTGGTCTCAAACCCCCACTGGGCTAAAGTGATCCTTCCTTCTCAGCCTCCCAAATAGCTGAGACTATAGGTACATGTCACTAAACTGACTCTAAGCATTTTTAAAAATAACAAATATAATGCCAAATATTACAGTTGGATTCTTTTTAAAAAATTAGAAAAGTTAAAATATTGCTTTTAAAAACTGTCATATATTTCCTTATATTTTTTTTGGGAGAAAAAATTATTTTACATCTTTTTTTCACTGCAAAATGAATTCAAACACATGTCAAAAGACAGGAAAAAAATCACTATAATCCTACTACCTTAATGCAACTATTATTACAGTATTTTTTTCAGCACAGTTATAATCATATTACATTTAAAATGTTATTGTTTTCCAATTAGCCATATACATTTTTTAAGCCACAATCATTTTTCCACATTAACACATCTGCATGATGTTTTGTCAACTAGATTTCTAAAATTTATAAATCCGTTCTTCCATTGTTCATCTAATTTGGGCTACCATAATTTATGCAGGGACATAAATCCACATGTATATTTTACATTTCCATGCCTAACCTGAGAAGTAGATAATTAACAGTACCTAAGGTGGGAAAGTTGTCCCTGAAGATTGAAAGGAAAACGGCAAGCTTATTTTCAGATGCACTATCTCACCAGGTCACTGACAAGCCAGAAGATTTACCTGGAAGAAATCTTACAAAACGTGGCATGAAATGAAATCTTGGGCAGCAGGGAGGACTGTCTTCAAACAAAGGACCTGAAGCAAACAAATGAGAGAAAAAAAGAAAAGAAAAGAAAACTCAAACAGTCTTAAAAAACAAGCACTGCAACTTAATTTCTAAGATTTATGATAACCACAAAAACTACCACCAGAAGTAAAGGCATAAAAAATACCACCACCTCCTGCCACTCCTCCTCAGTGGCTAAATCAATCATTGGTAACTGCCACAAGTACCCAAGGACGACTGCAATGAGGAGACTACGCAAAGGCAAGAAGAGGATGAAAGCCCCAAGCGCAAATGTATATAGTAAAATTATTTTTAAAATTCAAAGTTATCAAGACTAATTATAATTGAATTATTACATGATATAATGTGACTATGTGTTCATTCTTTCCCATTTTAATCACTACACTAAAAAATGTTGAGAAATGCTATCAGTTTGAAAAGCCATTCATCAATAAATAACTGTTTGTTAGAATACAGATACTTCCAAAAGAGTAAGCTACTATCCAAGAACCAAGCATCAAGTCTTTGAATTAATCTAGTTCACTCCAAGTATCTGCATGTGTGCATCTGTGTGTGTGTGTTTTAATGACTAACCAAAGTTTTGCATTTAAATAAACTTCCATCTTAGAAGATTTATTGCAGCAAAGTTTACTAGATTTAAAATATTAACTAATGGTAATTTCCCAGGTACACATATATCGAGGTAGTGACACATAATAACTGGTACCATCTTTAAGCTGCTACCAGCTAATAATAAGCACTGTCAAACTGTATAAAGTAAAATCCACAGAAACTTATTCATGTCAAATGATAACAAGCATTCCTGTGAATAACACTTTTCTCTGGGTATTTAAAAAGTAAGAGAAATTTCAACTATCTCCCTACAATTTTTGTAAGAGTTTTCACATATACCATAGCATTCTTCTATAAGCATTACTCTCTTCTTTAAATCCTATTACTCACCTTTAAGATTCCAGTCATACAATTCCAAAATATCTCTGAATAGGAACAGTGAAAAGAGTTCAAGCCCTTTCACACAAAAATTCTGAAAAATAAACCAAAATTAAATTACTGTAAATTGGCAAAATATATATTAACTGAAGGTTCAACTTGTTCTTGTCAAGTGTCTTTAAAAATGTCTGTTAAAACTATACTAAGACCATATAGTTTTCTGAAAAGTTTAGCCACTGATCACTAGCTTCAGATGGAAATGAAACAGACAATAATGCCATTAGGATTCCTTAATGTCAACTCAGCCCTTCTCAGTATACAAATAAAATGAGAAATTTTTTAAAAAGTAAAGTCTCACTTACATTAATATATTTTTCTAATTCAATTATAAACTGTGTGAGAATCTTCTGAGGATGTTTTGTTAATTCAGATTACATATATGCACCTGATAGGCTTGTCCCCGACCCCCGCCTCACACATCCAGAATAATGGTCATGGAGTTACAAAAAAACAGAGGTCATGTGTACCCAAAAAGTTCAAATTCATAATGAATGCAAATAAAGGGCTAAGAAAAACTATACAACTCTGCACCAAAATTTCTCCTGTAAACAAGCTAAACAGATGATATATTTGCAAGTGAGACTTATCTCATAATTCTTCCTCCTACTTGTTTTGCTTGGGGTTCATAAATTACCCTGTGTGAGATCACGCCAAAAGTCATAAACTTTTACAATAGCAAATGAAGGTATATGACCTTAAAAACCAAAAGGAAGTTAAAAAAAAAAAAAATCCCTTCTAGAGCAGAAGAATGAAGGGGTGGTTCTTTTTATTTAATTCTTTTTGAAAGGAAGGTACAATGAACAAGACTTGCTCAGAATGAAACAGGTGCCAACTAGGCACACATGTCATGCCCATCAATTTCCCCCTCCATGCTCCCTGCCCATGACAGAGCTGTCCCATTAAACAAGGTTTGTAAGCAGAGCCAGGGGCTCTGGAAATTGACCCTGACTCCAACACAATGTTAAGTGCACAAGCTTGTTTGCTGTCTAGTTGTTATTTCTTAGTATGATTTGTCGACACCACTAAATTCAAGATCAGACTATGAATCATTCTGAGATTCACATTAATCTTCCTTTGGAATTTTAAATCTCTTGCATATATTTAGATAAATCTGCTGCTGAGCACCCGCAATGAAAAACAATTAGGAAAAATATGTAAATATATGGGAAGAAAAATGAACCAAGCATTGATCTTGTCATTGGAGATAATGAGTGAGATGATTACAACAGCTATCAGATTGTTTCACTATTCCAATCTCCCCTCTGATAACGACCAGTAACCAAAATCTGTCCCCTACGTAAAAGAAACTAGAAACAGATGTAAAGTTAATATCAGCAGATGTAACACAAGGAGAAATGGGTTCAAAAACAGGTCAACAAGTTGAAAATTGGCCTGAATTTTAACCTTGATATTAGAGCTACATTTAACTGACTCTTTCAACAGTGAATATGATACTTTAGAGATATTCCTGGCAAAAGCCAGATCTGGCCAAGTTCAATGCTTTAAAATAGTAGTGTGGAATAAGCAAAAGAGCAAACGACATCAAACCATTACACAATCTTTTCCCTTACCTCCGGCATCATCTCTTCAATGAAATGAATCGTGTAGTCTATATTGAATCTAATTACTTTACACAGTGGAATCTGCAATAAAAAGAAGTGAGGTTCAGTTCCCCAACATCTCCCTGCAGGCTCATATTACACACGTTTGTTACCTGACCCAAAAGGCCACGAACCAAATGAGAAGGCTTCACCTTCATCTCAGTGGCTAACAACACTGCACATGAAGCTTGACCACAACTGCTGGATTTTAATGACAAGAACCTAGCTGTCCTGGCCTCTCCAAGAAACCTGCATAATGTAGTGCTTAATTAACAGGATTAGCAGCAGCAACACAAACATAACAAGAGCCCATTAAAACCACAAATATCACATCTAAAGAATTAATAAAACCATAACCATAAACATTTCTGCTTCTCAAGTTTTTAAAATATTTTAGAATCTCTGGCTCCTCAGGCAGATCAGGGATAGTAGGGTGATAACTCACCAATTATGGATTCATAAGTCACTGAAAACACCCAATTCATGCTGCCCAGCTGGTTTGTGAGCAAAGGCAATTGTGGTAATAAATATAATAATAACAAGTGATAATAAAAATAATAATAGCTAACATTTTTTGAGCCAGGCACTGTCCCAAATGCTTCACAATATTCATTCATGTAACCATCACAACATCCCTATGACATAGGTTTGGCTACCACGTCCACTGAACAGTGCAGGAAGCTAAGGCAGAAGTACCATCCCTAAGATAACAGCTAGCTCGGTGACTGGAAAGTCTTCCTCTAGACCCCAGCTCTTAGCCACGAGAGTATACCCTTCTCATTACCTGTTCTAACACTCAGGATACATGTGAAAACGAAAGAAGGCTAAGCATAAAATAAATCCACACCTATCTTACTTTACCAATGTATCATCAGACAATTGCCTACTGCCTACAAATAATAGGTTTTCCGTAAATATATTTTTGAATGAATTAAAGAATAAGAAAGGGAGGGAGAAAGATTACTGCAGAGAATTGGCTGGCTAGCTGGGGAAAATAAGACTCAGAAGTCCCAGAGATGCGTTAACTAAGTTTTTCTGGCTGCTTAATCTGTCCATAAGATGATTTTATATAGATGTAATCATTTTCATAAACCATAGCAATCAGAAAGAAACAATCTTTAATTCTATCAGTGAAAGGGATGGTAAGAAAAACAGAAAAATAGTCTTATAATGCCATCTACTGGAAATCTTTTTCTGAGATACAAAGTTTAGTTATTGGGGGCTTTCCCTTTTTATTCTAAAGAACAGTGGTTAATTTGAGTGAAATTCATAATAGCCATTATCATTTTTAAGTTCTACTTTGTTCTTATAATCATTTAAAAATATTTAAGAGTCACAAAATTTTGCATGATTCAACATATTTTTTAAATACCTATTCTTTGCTAACAACTACATTAGATTCACAGGTACTCTAAAATAAGCTACGGGTCCTATCTTAAGAGGTAAAGATGTATAAGAAGAAAGGCATGTAAGTAAATACAAACAGAATACAACGCAATGTAACTTCTAAGTTCAATTAAAAAACAAACAAGCAACCAAAAAAAGTATAAAGTGCAAAAGAACCAAAGAGGAGGTAACATATGAGTTGTCTTCAAAGATGGGGAGGGGCCGGGCATGGTGGCTTATGCCTATAATCCTAGCACTTTGGGAGGCTGAGCAGGGTGGATCGACTGAGTTCAGAAGTTCAAGAACAGCCCGGCCAACATGGCAAAACCCCGTCTCTACTAAAAACACAAAAATTAACTGGGCATGGTGGCGGGCATCTATAATCCCAGCTACTCGGGAGGCTGAGGCAGAAGACTCGCTTGAACCCAGGAGGTGGAGGTTGCAGTGAACCAAGATCATGCCACTTCACTCCAGACTGGGCAAAAGAGCGAAACTCCATCACAAAAAAAAAAAAAAGATGGGGAGGGGAGGAATTTTCCAGGCCGTCCAGAAAAAGTTGAGGCACAGCAGCTGTTTAGCTTCTAGCAAAATGGAGGAAAGGGAGCTGAGGAAGGAAGTAGTAATTTCACGGTTCAGACAGAAGTACGTGGAGAGAGAGATGCCAGGTGATCTAGAGAGGAAAATATGAACTCTATTATGCAGCCTTTACAAACCATGTTAAGGTCAAGGCTTATGGATATATGGCAAGAAGAAATCATTCAAGTACTTTAAGTTAGAGATTATCATCATCTACATTTCAGAAAAGACACTGTGGAAACAGTGGTGGAATGGCTTGTAAGGGAACAAAGAAGACCAGACTGAAGTCTAATGCAATAGTCCAGGAGCCAAATGAAGGAAAGACTGGAAAGGAAGAAAAAAATTTTAAACACAGGAGATATTACTGAAATATACAGTGACCATTCTGATGTGGAAGGAAGAGTAAAGAAAGAATTGAGGATCATTTCTGGGTTTCTGGCTTAAGTGACCAACTAGATCACTTAAGTGACCAAATGATCCTCAATATATTATATATATTATATATATGCTGAAGCCAGAAATTTTTTCTGTCCTTTTGTTTTATAATGACAGTAATGACTGTGACTAATTTAGCATCAGTGGCCTCTCAAGTCAAACCCTGTGCTGGGGAACGTTTTTAAAAATGATGTTTTCTATTCACTTTTGCTATAAACCTAAAACTACTGTTTTTTTTTTTTTAAAGTCCATATTTTTAAAAAATTATGTCTGATTCTCACTAAAACCCCAAGCATTGCTATCATTAATGAAGTTCAAAGAATTCACTTGTCCGAGGTTAAAAAAAAAAAAAAAAGGATTAGAAGATTCAAACCCAACTCTGTCTGAAATCCTTTCCAAAGAGAGAAGTGCCAATATTTATTATGTGCCAAACACCATGATAAACACTTTTCATGTGCCATCTTATTTATTTTTCACAAAAGCCAATGAGATTGCTCCAACTAATACCCTCATCTTACAATGAGAAAGCCAAAGCTTACACAGATTGAAATGTCAAATCACAGAGCTATCACTAATTTTAAACCCTGGTCTCTCTAAAGCCACACTGCTATCCTTCTTTGTTTAAGGTGATCCTAAAAGTCAAAATAAGACCTCTATTAATTCTAGGGAATCAAGAAATAAGATGAAGAATAGTTTTAAGTATTTTCATGCTAACTAAATTCTGTGTATTTATAAGCCCTTTGTGGGGAAAAAGAGACAGGCAGTAGATGGTTGGGGGTGGAGGGTAATCAACTCTAAGGCTACGAGATTTGGTGAAACAAAGAGTTTGAAAGTTTGTGACACTTAAAAAAAGAAAAAAAAGCAAAGAAATCATGAAAATTCAGAAACCTCTTAGTACCTTTCCATAAAGATTATTTAACAATGGCCTCATATTATTGCTTTTCTATATTTCTTTATTTATTTGAGACACAGTTTCACTCTTCTGCGCAGGCTGGAGTGCGGCAGCATGATCTTGGCTCACTGAAACTTTTGCCTCCCAGGTTCAAGTGATTCTCATGCCTCAACCTCTCGAGTAGCTGGGTTTACAGGCGCACACCACCACCCCCGGCTAATTTTGGATTTTTAGTAGAGACATGGGGTTTCACCATGTTGGCCAACCTGGTCTCGAACTCCTGACCTCAAGTGATCCACCTACCTCGACCTCCCACAGTGCTGGGACTACAGGCATGAGCCACCGTGCCCGGCCCATATTACTGCTTTTCTACATTAGTGAACAACAGATGGTCCCCCCTGAAGAAAAACGTAATACATATTATCAAATGATTTTATTTTTACATTTACAATGTAATCATCTTCTCAAAGAAAATTCTCTAGGATAAAAAATACTGTGAAATAAAGAAAATCTCATTAGGAAAACAATTTGTCTTAAATTAGCATCACTGCTATGGAATCATATCTACTTATACGAAAAAAAATGACAAAAAAGGGTAAGGTAAGGCAAAGATCTGAGTCTTAACTGTACTCTCCAATGGAACTGAATTTCATCTGTGAAGTAAACAGTACTAAAATAATTTTTCCAATTGCAGATGTAATTTCACGTAACCAAACCAGAAAAGGTTAAACAACATTCCATTTGATGTGGATATATAATAGCTACAATTCAGTAAGTTCTACAGCAGCATCTGTACTGGGTCAAGTACACTGCCACACATCTCTTCCTGTGCCACTGCCAGCCAATTCACTCTACATCCAACTGGAGTAAGAAAGACAATTCCTGGGACTGCCAGCACGGAGATGGAAAGATTCTGACTCACGGATCCGGAACTTCCATTTGAACCAATTACCAACAAAGCAGACTTAATACCTGTATAAAAATATCATGAATCCATATGTCAAAGTCTCTTGAAGACACACCCCTGGGATTCAAAAGCAGAAAATGTACTTCATGAATTCAGGCTCCAAATGTCCTGAATAAGCTCTGTTTCTTTTGCTCAGAGACTAAACAATGGCTTCTCCTTAAAACTTTCCAACTTTCTCTTGAAGGACAACCAACCCAAAATAGCTTTAACACATTACTCCACAGTTTATCCTCCTTTTCCAAGCTTTCACACTCTCAAAATGTGACTCTGACACATGTTTACTTACAGCATTTAATGCATACCGAACCTGTGACTCATTAGCACAGACGTCACACTGCCACCTGACACACTGCTGCAGACTTCCTGCAGCTCACTCACGTTACAGAGGGACGCAGAGGAAACGTTTCTTAGGAGGCAGATGACAGGAAATGTTTTGACTTTTGGAAAGAAGGGATGAAGGAGGTACAAGGAAAGAGAAAAGCAGCCAACTAGCACATACTTACATTGGTCAGGGGGGCATGTGCAAACATAGAAAATCCTTCAAAGATATACTCGTGATCATCGTATTCTATGACAGTTGGCCTGTCAGTCTAAAAGCAAACAGAAACATGAACCCCAAATTAAATAAATGACAGGGTTTGCATGTGCAGAAATCCATCAGGACTCAAAGTAGCCAATAGAACATAAGGACTTCCTTTCAGACACCAGGGAGAACTTTATACAAAGTTTAATTTTACATGAAATTCTCTGGCTTCAGATAGTAAGTATAATATTTATGTACTTAGACAATTAATGATGTAATATTATGGGTGCCATAAATAAATAAAAGGCTATATTAAGCTTCATTTTCTAAGAACTTGTTTTATTTAATCTCACAATACTACCAGTTCTGTTCTTAATGAACTATGTTTCTGAACTAGCAGAAGTCCTAACAGGAGCAAGGTAAATAATACAGCTGACTCAAATGCAAAGTGGAAAAAGACTCAGCATCACAGAGTGGAGACTAGCAACAGCCTAGAAGTCTCTGAAAGGCCTCTGGGTGCCAGAAGCTCAACCCCTCATAGCTCTACTCCCAGCCTCTCCAAGAAGTCAACCAACCAAACACTGCAAAAAATCAATTCCCATACAAGTTCAAAGGCCTTAATTCCCAGAAAATTGGATTTGTAACTAAATAATACATGTATCAATCTAAGCATGAGGGACTCTATTCCTTATGCCATTCTTATAACCCAACATTGTGTGTGTGTGTGTGTGTGTGTGTGTGTGTGTGTGTGTGTGTTTGAGATGAAGTCTCACTCTGTTGCCTAGGCTGGAGTGCAGGGGCATGATCTTGGCTCACTAGAAACTCCGCCTCCCATGTTCCAGCAATTATCGTGCCTCAGCCTCCTGAGCAGCTGGGATTACAGCCACGCGCCACAATGCCAGGCTAGTTTTTGTATTTAGTAATGGGGTTTCACCATCTCTACTAGGCTGGCCTCGAACTCCTGACTTCAAGTGATCTGCCTGCCTCGGCCTCCCAAAATGCTGGGATTACAAGCATGAGCCACGAGGCTAAGCCATTTTTAACCTTAAATGCTAAATATGGCAATAATTATTAAGACTGATAGCCTATAAGACAAATTTCTAACACAGATACTAGATTTCATTCTTTTAAACATTATCTATTAAGAACAACTTGGAATAAGGGGAAACAAAAGAATATCGAAATATATATTATTTGTTTTGCCAATATTATTGTTAATTTATATTTGAAAAACTTAACAAAGATGGTCTAAATTAAATAAAAGAGAGCCAGGCACAGTGGCACATGCCTGTAATCCCAGCTACTTGGGAGGCTGAGGCAAGAGGATCACATGAGGCTGGAGTCCAAATTCAGCCTGAGCAACAAAGTAAGATCTCACCTCTGAAAAAAGAAAAAAATAAAATGGTATAAATGAGCAAAAATGGTATAGCCACTTTGGAAACAGTTTGGCATTTCTTCAAAAAACTTGTTGTTGTTGTTGTTGTTGTGCAGGCTGGAGTGCAGTGGCACGATCCCGGCTCACTGCAAGCTCTGCTTCCTGGGTTCACACCATTCTCCTGCCTCAGCCTCCCGAGTAACTGGGACTACAGGTGCCCCACCATGCCCAGCTAATTTTTTGTATTTTTAGTAGAGACAGGGTTTCACCATGGCGCCCGCCAGCACGCCTGGCTAATTTTTTATATTTTTAGTAGAGATGGGATTTCACCATGTTAGCCAGGATGGTCTCGATCTCCTGACCTTGTGATCTGCCCACCTCAGCCTCCCAAAGTGCTGGGATTACAGGCGTGAGCCGCTAGGCCTGGCCGCTGTTCACTAATTTTTAAGAGATGTGGAAGTGTTCTATATTTTCTTCCCACTCCATAGCTCCAACATTGTTGGCTACTATGAATTTGGCTATTAAGTGATGCCAACAATATTTAATGAAAAAAAGATATAGTAGTGTAGTGAAGAGGAAGCTGAAAGAAACATCATTGTGATAAAGATCAATTTCTCAACATAAAAATATTTTTCAAAGTAAGAACATTTAAGAACGGAATCAATAACTTTAGCCTATTCACATTTTACTCTATTTACATTTTAAATGATATGCATGTGATTCTTTAGAAACTTACTAAAAAGTTCGTAGGCGGGGAGACTGTGATCCGGTAGTGGAAAAGTCTGCCAGCATTGTTGGTCATAGGACGACAGGGCTTGATAGCCTGAGGGGAAAAAAACGAAAATCAGTTTACAAGTAAAACAACAGAGTATTTTTACTTAAAAATATATTGTATTTCGTAGATTCACATCTAACAAAAGAGATTTTATGTCTGTTCCTTCACAGACTGGTAGGAAAGAGCAGTACTGGCTTTGCCATACCTAGACCAGTAAAAAAGGGCTGGCCAGTCTCCAGCTCTCAGTGACTTCCTCAGGTGCTGGTGAAGCAGGGATATCCAATAAGGCCATAAATGTCTGAGGGTTTGGGGGCCTCCAAAATACCGTTAACTTAGCAAATGAGCGGTTATCATCCATGAGGGTGCCGGGGGACACCCGCTGGACCATGAGTACACATAGGGGGCCTGTCCTTGATGAAGACCTGGTGTTCTTTCATCTGACGTGGCGAGTAGGTCACGTCAGTTGTAAGGAGGGTCTGAAGGAACTCATGAGGCTTGCCTGAGATGGGCCCATTTGGGAGTCCCCTTTATTGCAGCTGCCAGTAGAAGTAGCTCTGACCTTGCTGCAGACCGCTGGACTGCGTCTCGTCCTGTGGGTGATGGGCCTGGGAAGCCCAAGGAGAGCGATGCCAGCTGTCAGACCTCTGGCTAGAGGGTGCCAAGTTGGGGCTGGGAGAGGTGTGAGCTGCAGCTGGGAACACTTGGTTGGGTGGTTGTGTCTTGGCATTTTCCAGCATGGCAAGGGCCCATAGAGCTTGATTAACTTCGGAGGCCAAGAGAGCTCGTTAGGCCTGTGATGGGGCTCCCCTTAAAAACAACTGTAAAGTAGGGCCAGGCACAGTGGTTCATGCCTGTAATCATAGCACTTTGGGAGGCCAAGGTGGGAGGTCTGCTTAAGCCCAGGAGTTCAAGACCAGCCTGGGCAACATGGCAAAACCCTGTCTTCACAAAAATTAGCCTGGTGTGGTGGTGCATGTCTATGGTCCCAGCTACTCAGGAAGTTGAGGCAGGAGATCACTTGAGCCCAGGAGGCGGAAGTTGCAGTGAACCAAGATTGCACAACCGCACTCCAGCCTGGGTGACAGAGGGAGACCTTGTCTCAAAACAAAAACAAAAAGAAAATCATAAACATTTGGCTGCAAGGTGGCCTATACAGGGCTCTCCCAGCGGTGCCCCGGTCCCATGGAGGTGGCAGCTGCATAAACCCACTGAAGCATGCTTAAATGTTCCTTCCTGAACTTTACACCAGCCACTTTCAGTCCTTGATGGGGAGGTTCATGCTGAGGTGTGCTATTCTCCAAGTCATGAACAGCCACTGCAGCAGAGGACAGGGACAGCTTATGGCCGCCCACTCTATGCCCACAGCCCCATCAAGTTGTGCTTCCTGGATAACCTTGACTGGGTGTTGAAGTCATGAGAGACCTTACCATCTTTGGAGATAGCTACCGTTATATTTTTCAGTCTGTGAGTTACAGACCACTTCCCGTGTGATACACACAGTACAGCCAGTGACAACTTTTTCACTGAGTCCTTGCATCAGGTCTTCAAGGAGGCTCTTAATTTCTGTCCTTGACAAAGGGTAAACCTCTTTGCAGACTTCTATGGTGTCTGGGGCGTGCTTCCTCATCTGAGCAGGTTGTGGAGGTGACAGCCACTGTCCTAACCATGACCCAAGTGGTGACTGGTAATGCCTGTAGTGCAACCAATGGTTATCCCACAAACTCAGGATCATCATTCCACAGCTTGAAGGCCTATGGATCAGCCAGGCCAAGTGATGCGACTCTTGAGCTGAGCCTGTGTGACTGGAGTATGCGGCACCCAGCAGGCATCTGAGGATGGAGCACATCCCTGGAGAAGCTGCGCAGTCCCATCAGGAATGCAGAGGGGATAATGTGCCCTTCAGTGATTGTACAGACTTGCAGGGGATCATCTTCTAATTCCCCCACTGGCAGACAACAACAGAGAGGCTTTCTGCAGATAAACCTGACCTACGACTTCCTGGCCTATGGTGTCACAATCGCAGGATCCTTCAGGCTGAGATGCTCCTCTGGCACAGCAAGGGCTGGAGACACACCAGCTGGCAGTCAGCTCTTGAAACCAAGGGTGTCCCTGGCATCCAGACCGTCCTCTTCCACTTGGGAGCCTCTCCCCCCTTACTAGGGGCCTGGAAGGATCTTAAGAATAATTTTGGCAGGTTTTGCCTGGTGGCAATTTCCATAACAGAGGTAAAAAGTACACACAGTAGGTAGCAATTGGCCAGAAAGCAGAACAAAAACTGCCAGACCTGCTGTGGAATAGTCCATAGGGCTCACCCGATAGCTGGATCAGAGCTAACACTCATGATTCTCTCATAGAAATGAGTGCCACTACTCACCTGCTTAGGCAAATCCCATCACCAGCCCCAACTGTTGTGTTGGTGGGTGGGGTGTTTCCAATGGACCTAATTAACCAGCTCTTTCAGGAGGGACTTCTCCCTTTCCATCTGATTCTCCTCCTTTCCATCTGATTCTCCTCAAAGATAAGTCTTAGTCACCAACCGATGCTCAAGCAGTTTGCTCTGCTTATTCTCTTACAAGACGGACAGCAGATGCAGGCCAGATATAGCCAGGGAGTCAGATGACCAAGTCACCAGGAGGGTCTTCATCCGGAGACCATCCTCAAGTTTGCAGGATCCTTCTCCTTTACTTATACCTGTATTCAGTCCAGATCAGTTACCAGATGTCTCTTTTCTAAAAGGAGTTTAAACTATTCTTATAAGGGGAAACTTTGTTTTAAGACTTATGAAAGCTGCATCTGTGCCGAGGTGGCCTTGTCTCCTGGAAATCTCCAGGCTAGGTTGTAGACTGCTGACACAGGCTGACATGGACAACACTGCTGACATGGAGTATCAGCCCTGTGAGACACCTGAATGAAGTTATGGCTACCCTTAATCTTATAGCCACAATATGCCACTTACAGTATACTCCAGAGCGGGTTCAGACCACAAGATTTAAGGATCTTTCTAGATCTACAATCCTATGACCATCTTCCTTTTACTTGTAAAATAACACAATAACTGACCTTTGGTTACACTTATGAATAAACTGAAAAAAAAAAAAGTGGGGAAATTAATCTGAGAACTAACAGCAGTGAGAGTTAATAGGAAATTTTAAAAGCTGGAAGGAATAAATATGCTGGGTAAAAATCAAAAAGGTCAGAAATGAAGAAAGCATGAGAGGTGGTGGAAGAGAATATGCATGGATCTTAAGACGGGAAAAAGCTGGCCAGACACGGTGGCTCATGCCTGTAATCCCAGCACTTTGGGAGGCCAAGGTGGGCAGATTGCCTGAGGTCGGGAGTTCAAGACCAGCCTGACCAACATGGAGAAACCCTGTATCTACTGAAAATACAAAATTAGCCAGGCGTGGTGACGCATGCCTGCAATCCCAGCTACTTGGGAGGCTGAGGCAGGAGAATCACTTGAACCTGGGAGGTGGAGGTTGCCGTGAGCTGAGATCAAGCCATTTCACTCCTGCCTAGGCAACAAGAACAAAACTCTGTATCAAAAAAAAAAAAAAAAAAAAAAAAAAACGGGAAAAGGCAAACAAAGCCAGCAAAAGAAGTGTGCTGTGACAGCGTCAGTTGTGACGGCAGATTGGGTGTGCCTGTGACAGACATGGGGATCTGTGCCGCACAGACCCAGGTTCAAGGAAAGACTTGCTGCCTGGCTGTGGAGGGCACAGATAGCAGGGAGCTTCCAGCTATAAGCTTCTTCAGGATCTCTCTCCACTGTAGATCTCCCTCCTCTGACCTCAGGCATGGCCCAACATCAGGTACTGAGCAAGGCAGAGGTATAAAGGCCCAGCCATTTCAGCCCAACTCAAATGGGCAATATGCATTCCGCAGATCACCCCCAGGCTGAATGCAGCTTTCAGTTCAGTCAATCCTTCTGTCCAATCCTGCTTCCACCTTTCGTTGATGCCTAATAACCATCATGCACCCAAAACTCCATCTTAGCATCTGCTTCTAGAGAACCCAAGATGCGGCTGTTGGTACTAGGAGTGACCCAAGAAAACAGCAAATAAGATGGTGTTTCGGAGCTCAATCACCTCCCAACAAGCAATGAAGATGCCATCACTGGTGGTAAGCGGAACACAGACAACCCCTGGCACCAGATGGCAAGCAACTAAACTTTAAAGATGGTGAATTAGAAGCTGTACACTGGAAGCAGGCCAAACACCCAGGTGTTTAAAAATGGTAGCTATAAGAACAATGGTTATGATCCTTCAGGGATGGATGGCTGTCGCTAAGCACCACTGATGCTCTACCATAGTCCCCAAACCTTAGTCTGCCCAGAAATCACCTGGAGGGCTGGTTAAATCTCAGAGTGCTTGTTCCCCACTCCCAGTTTCTGATTCAGTGGCTGGGATGGGCTGAGAATCTACCTTTCTAACAAGTTCCCAGGTGAGGCTTGTGTGAGTCTCAGTTGGAAGCCTTCACTTAGAGAACCACTGCACTATAGAAGTATAACAGCAGAGGAGGAGAAAAGACTATTGGAAACCAGATGTGAAAGCCAGAAGAAACTCTCACTACCTACAGTGGGAGGTCACAGCAAGGACCAAGCCTAAGGCTTACCTGTGAGAGTGGCTGAACCTCAAAGGCAATTAGCCACCGTCAGCGCCCAGGAAACCAGAAATGGGGACATTTAGGTTTTGACTCCCCAGATTCCTCTAAACCGTCTGACTGCAGAGATGGCACATCCCTCCCAATTAAGAGCAACTGCTCAATTGTGCCAGAAGACAATGGAAGAACCTGCAAGGCAACACTATGCCCCCTCACACACCCCTCAACCAGTCTCCCCTCCAGGCCAATACCTATAATTGGGGTCATTTCAGGGCCCCAAACGGGGAAGTGCTGGAAGGCAACAGATTATATTTCAAAAGAACTGCAGGAACTAACTAGCATGTAGCAACAGCCAGAGAAGTCTGCAGAGGACGTGATGATGACAGCGCTTGATCAACAGGGCCAGAACATAAAACTGTTTAGAGAAGAGTATATTGACTTGGGAGTACTCAGGATACAACACCACCAGGGTATGTTGAGAACTCCCTACTAGCATGGCTCCTAAAAGCATGAAGAAGCAACAACCCACACTGAGCAAAGCTGAAATACCAGAATTGCCGTGGTAGACAGTGGAGGAAGGAATTCAAGGACTCAAGGAAGTTAGAATGGATACAGTATCTATGGCTGGAAAATATGCCAAACAATCGTGTTGCATGGGAAGCCCCAGAGGACACACTAAAACGAATGTGCAGGTGATAGGAGCACAAACATCATGAGGAAGATCAGTGGCGACCTCCTCTGCAGGCCAGGGCTGACCACACAAGTGGTCAGAGAGCAGAGCCGCCAGCAGTAACAGGGATGACAGAATCCTGAAACAAGAGATGCCAGGTGACAGGGCTGAGTACTGGAAGCCAGGCCACAGTGTCAGCCAAGGGGGTCTGACCCACAAAGGTCACGGAAATAGTTAACAGAACATGGTGTCCTTGGGTACAAAACAAGTGGGTAACCAACACGAGTACTACTTAGTTTGTACAAACATAAGAAACCAGGAATGGATAACCAAGAGACTGAAGGCAGGACATTCCAATAAACAGTCACACTATTCCTTGCCCAGTTCCAGACCTGATCACATTTTTTGGACTGAAATCCACTGACTAAAGAGGTGGTCAGATCCCAGGAGGAAGGACTCTGTAACAAAATAACAAGCAAAAACGGCCTTGACAACCCTGTCATTCCCCAAAGGGGCTTATGGCCATTTACCTGGGGAGCTGTACACTGGGAAAAGAAGAATAGCAGACAGTTCAAGCCATGTTAGATGCAGTATCCGAATCATTGATACTTGGAGACCGGATACATCACTATGGTTCCCCAGTTAGAGTAGAGAATATGAGGCCAAGGTAATAAACGGATCTTGGTCAAGGTCTGACTTAGAGTGGGTCTACTGAATCACAGATCTACCCAGTGGTCCTTACCCTGGTCCTTGAATGTACCACTAGAATTGACATTCTAGGCAGACCCAATGTGCTACTCAACACTGGGTCCTTGACATGTGGAATAAGAGCTATCCTAATGGGAAAGTCAAGCAGAAATGAAATTACCACAACCCCCATCAACCCAAGCATCAAAACCAATATTGCACTGGAGGGATACAGGAGATTAGCGCCACTCTTAAGGATCTGAAGGATATAAGGGAGATGGTACCGGTCCTATCTCTGATTAATTCACCTGTCTGGCCCCTGAAGGTCCTGAAGGATAACTGCAAACTACCACAAACTCAACCAAGCAGGAGCTCTGAGTGTAGCTGCCAGGTCAGGTGTTGTAGTTTACCTGAAGCAGATATAAAGTATGTGGCAACTGATTAGGTGAATGGGTTATTTTCTATCCCAATCAGAAATAAGGATCAGAATGGTTCACAGACATTTATAGTTTTGCCCCAGGGTTGTGTTCATGCTCCCACCCACTCATAATACCAAGGAGTTCCCAACCGTCCAGGCATACTGCAGAACCTCACACTGCTCCATTACACCTCTGACATGATGATGATCAGGCATGCACGCATGCACCGCAGTGGATGTGAGATCAGCCCTACAAAGATTTAGGGGCCTGCCGCAGCCACACAATTTTTAGGAGTCCAGTGGTCTGGGGAATGCCAAGATATCCCCTCCAAAGTAAAAGACAATTATTTTATCTTCCACCTCCTACAATGAAGAAAGCCCAACACCTACTGCGCCTTTTCAGGCTCAGGAGGCAAGAGAATGCACAGGTAGAAACACTGCTCCAATCCACTTACAGAGTGGCACAAACAGCTGCCCCTGCTGAGGACAGCCCATGTGAGAAAGGGCCTCAGCTGTTCCAGGCTAGAGTATAAGCAGCGCTGCTGCTGGGGCCGTATGTTTCAGCAGATCCTACAGTGTTGGTGGGAAAAGATGCCAAAAGGAATCTGTGGCAGGCCACATTGGGAGAATCACAATGCTGGTCCCTGACGTTCTGGAGCAAGACCTGCTATCTATAGTGAAGACGTATGTGCCTTTGAAAGAATATTCCAGATGTGCTACTTGGCCCTGATAGAGATGTAAGGCCTGGCCAAGAGATACCAGATACACATGTGGCCAGAATCACCCATCATAGGCTAAATTCTGTCAGTCCCACCGGGCAATAAGGCATCAGCAACAATCCATCAAAAGGCAGGCGTGGTACTGCCAGAGTCAAGCATACCCAGGAGCCAAGAGCACAAACAAGCTGCCTGGGCAGGTGGCCTGGATCCCCACAGCTCCATCACTGTTGCACTAGCTCCCCTCCCTCAGCTGATGACCTAGGGTGTATGGATGAAAGCAGAGGAAAAAGCCCAAGTTTGGTTTACAAATGGGTCAGTTGGCAAGAGTGAGTGAGCCAAAAACAGATGGCACTACAGCCTCACTCCGGGATGGTTCTGAAAGACAGCGCTGTGGGGAAATCTCTCCCAGTGGGCGGAGTTTCAGGCAGTGTACCTGGTCATCCACTTTGTGTGGAAAGAGAAGTGGCCTGAGGTTAGAATAGAGAGGGACTCATGGGCAGAAGCAAGTGGTGGCCATGCCAGCTGGTCAGGGGCCTAGAAGAAAAGAGGACGGATGAGAAGGTCTTGGGGCAGAGACTTGCAGGTGGACAAATGGAAGGGAGCATGACAAGCTCTATCTCACACATGGAGGTCTGTCAGACAGCACCACCATGGAAGAGGTACCAAGGTACCAAGCAGACAAAATGACTGGGGCAGTTGGTGCCAGCCACACCCTGACCTCAGCCACCCCAGAGCGACAGGAGGGGCACATGAATGAAATGACCACAGCAGCAGAGAGGAGGCTTCCCATGAGCCCAACAGCATGAACCCCGCTTATCAAGGCTAAGCTATATAATTAAGCTAACTTCCACTGCCAAACATCCAACTAGTCAGATACAATGGCCCATGCTGAGTCCCCAGAATGAGACCATTCTTCCAGGAGGCCAAACTGTCACCTGCCTTTCCTGCCTACGGGTCCCTAGCTGGCACCACTGCCCATCTAGTCTCCCTTCAAGGAAGAGCCTGCTGTCCAAATGTGCACTGTGTAGTCAGCACACAGCCTATAGCTATTGGCTCCTTCAGGGTCAGCCTCAGCTGCAGAGCCCCCTCTCCCAGGGTCGTGCCCTTCCTGGGGCACCTTGCTGTGGGGACTGAGACAGATGGGGGTATGACAGCCATTCCAGCACAACACACAAAAATTGTGATAAGCCAGGCCTGATCAGACCCACATCACAGGGGAATAGTTCCCACCTCTGCTCTTTTCCTGTCACAGGTGTTGATCCCTCATCAACATCTCAGAGCTCCCAACCTGAGGCATGTGCACAAACACTCACAAGACGCCACCCTGTCCCACAATTCCTCGCTACACTTGCCTACTTTCAAAGGCAAATGAGCAGAAGTGATGCAAGTATTTCAAATTATCAGGCACCATCTCCTAGTCTTTATTCCCATTATTATTGAGCCCTCAAACAAGTTTTAAATAGAAATTAAGGTTTTATGTATACTGTGTTTAAATATAATGCACTGAATTATAAAGTGAGAAGCCTGGGATTAACAAAAATAGCTTATAAAAATAAAAGATAAAGGGAACAAATGAGGGACAATAATTGAAAGGGACAGACTAACAGAAGACATGTGCCTCAGAGCACTTTAGTAAGAGCGTCTCTCCAGGGCCATTCATAGCCACTTATGATGAAACATAAAACTATAATATGTACAGTTGAAAAATACTTAAAATGGGAAACACATATCAAATACACCATGCCTATTTTAAATAATAAAACTACTAAAACTTTTGTTAATGTTTCCTCGAGAACATTCCCCACTCCACCCCCAAAACCCAAGTACTTTCCTCAGCAATTATCAGTAACAGAGACTATCAGGGAATATGAAGAGAATTTTGATGGTATTATTTCATTTATGGGGGAAAGAACAGCAACAACATCTGTCTACTTCTGGCTTCTCGGCATTTACAAACACAATAACCCAAACCAGTTACCTCTTCTCCAGGATAAATGCTGTGCCTAATTCCTGTGCGTCTTGCCTTTGCGCTGCATTTGCAGAGTGGTCCATCGTTCATCTGTCAGAAACACAATGTAATTCGTTTTTATTGGAGGGAAAAATCCACACCATGCACAATGATGCCTCCAAAAATGTGTGGGTTTTAATGTCATGAGCACTGAAGCTCTGAGAGGCTGTCACGGTTAGAAGATTAAACGGATGTTCCAAAACCAATAAAGCTGCAAACTCTCTATATTGTCTGATAAAGGGAAACTGTATGACAACCCTGCATTCCCGAGTTATTTGTGCAGCCAAGCAGAAAATATCAATGTCAGCACACTGTTTGCCCCCATCTTCTTCTACCAATTCCCAGGACATTTTTGTTTCCCTATTTCTTATCTCAAGAAAAATGACTCTTTCACAAAAGCAAATTTTATATCCTGGAGGAACACATAGAGTGTTTTGAAGGTGACCTGCGGATTCGATGTTTTGAAAAGAGAAACTGTAAGGTACCTCACTAGCAGAGAGAAGAAAATGCTACTAAGCCAGAAAAACTTCCCACACTGGTCAGGTTAGATTACATCTCTCTCCCTGAATTTGTTTTAGTGCCACAAACTCCGCCCACAAGGCTCCATAGGCAAGCAATTCTTCAAAACTTCTGGAACAGATGAGTGCTAAGCAAGGGGATGATAAAGAACAGCGGGTCCATGTGCTCAAGGAATATCTGTTCTAGACAGGAGAACAACATATATATGATATGCTTCATAATTTAAAAGAAAAAAAAATCACTCGAAAGTAGGTAACGCTGGGGTGTCAAACAGATGGGATGGACAAGAAAACAAGAGGGCTGCTGCACTAGAGGCACCAGCACCCATCAGAAAAGGAGAGAAGGCAGGAAGTCCACGTCATGCTCTGGGCCACGAGACTCATCTAAATAAAATGGACCATTTATGTGGGGGAGAAGACCAAAAGAAGCAGAACTAACATCAAAATCTGAAGGGCCTCACAAGCCAGGTTCATGAGTTCCTCTGGTATACATGGTAATACTGAATGAAAAACAAGACCAGAGCTCAGATAGGGAAAATGAAGAAGTGGAGTTCCATTTCTCTTTCTCTGTAATAATTTAAAAATATAGGCTGGTCAGAGTGTAATGGTTTTTACAAATAATTGATCACAGCCAGTTAGACTTCATTCCTTCTCCACTCCCACTGCTTCTTCACTTGACTAGCCTTAAAAGAAAAAATATATATACATATATACACACACATATTTCTTTAAAGTTATTGAGATTTATAACTCAGTATGTCCAATTAAAATATAAAAGTCAGTAAGACTTTTTGAAAAAAAAAGTGTCAAAGTAAAAAGTTGTAACTTTGCTTTAGCCTCTTGGAAAATCTAAAGATCCAGGCACAGTAGAGGAATAATATTACTACCGAAAAGAAAGATTCTGTTAAGATATTATCTAAAGTAACAGCTGGCAAATAAGAGATGTAACAGGATTTCATCAAAAGTCATAACTCGGCTGTGCGCAGTGGCACACGCCTGTAATCCCAGCACTTTGGGAGGCTGAGGCAGACGGATCACCTGAGGTCAAGAGTTCAAGACTAGCCTGGCCAACATGGCAAAACCCCATCTCTACTAAAAAAGCACAAAAATTAACTGGGCGTGGTGGCGGGCGCCTGTAATCCCAGCTACTCATGAGGCTGAGGCAGGGAAAATTGCTTGAACTAGATATGCAGAGGTTGCAGTGAACTGATTGTGCCACTGTGCTCCAGCCTAGGCAATAAGAATGAAACTCTATCGCAAAAAAAAAAAAAAAAAAGTTATAACACACTCCTAAGGCCAGGTGCAATAGTTCATGCCTGTAATCCCAGCACTTGGGGAGGCCAAGGCAGGCAAATTACTTGAGGTCAGGAGTTCAAGACCAGCCTAGCCAACATGGTGAAACCTCGTCTCTACTAAAAATACAAAAATTAGCTGGGCGTGGTGGTACAAGCCTGTAGTCACAGCCACTGGGGAGACTAAGGCAGGAGAATCACTTGAACCTGGGAGGTAGAGCTTGCAGTTAGCTGAGATCACACCACTACACTCCAACTCCAGCCTGGGCAACAGAGCAGGAGTTTTTTTGAGACTCTGTCTCAAAAAAAAAAAAAAAAGAAAAAAAAAAGTTATAACACACTCTTAATGCCAGTCATGACTTCCATGATGAAAAATATAAAAAATTAACTTAGTGCTCACTGATCTCCAGGGAAGTGGAGACATCCTACATGCTTGCCTTTTATCAAGGTCTGGGATCCTACATATTCAGCCCTTCACAAGGCTCAACTATACAGAGGACACAAAACCAGTAACACTAAACAGCATTACAGAGACTGTATACAAAGCACTGTTGAATTTCTGATAGAAACAGGTATCCACGGAAATCAGTGTAGAGGCTTCTTGTGAAACAGGAAAACAACAGTCAAGTAAAAAGACTAGAGGGCCAGGTGCAGTAGCTCACACCTGTAATCCCCACACTTTGGGAGGCTGAGGCAGGAAGACTGCTTGAGCCTAGGAGTTTGAGACCAGCCTGGGCAACATAGCGAGACATCATCTCTACAAATAATTTTTTAAAACTAGCCAGGCAGACCAGGCGCAGTGGCTCACACCTGTAATCCCAGCACTTTGGAAGGCTGAGCCAGGTGGATCACCTGAGGTCAGGAGTTCGAGACCAGCCTGACCAACATGGAGAAACCCCATCTCTACTAAAAGTACAAAATTGGCCAAGCGTGGTGGCGCATGCCTGTAATCCCAGCTACTCGGGAGGCTGAGGCAGGAGAATCACTTGAACCCAGGAGGCAGAGGTTGTGGTGGGTGAGCCAAGATCGCACCATTGCACTCCAGCCTAGGCAATAAGAATGAAACTCTATCTCAAAAAAAAAAAAAAAAAAACTAGCCAGGCATAGTGGGGCGCCCCTATAGTCCTAGATACTTGGGAGGCTGAAGCAGGTGAATCGCTTTGGCCTGGGAAGTCAAGGCTCCAGTGAGCCGTTATTGCACCAGTGCACTCCAGCCAGAGCAACAGTGTGAGACCAGGTCTCAAAAAAAAAAAAAAAAAACCCATATATGGAGGAAGTTTATTTTAGGGGGGACAAAAATGTCCTAAAATTCAATTGTAGTGATAGTTGTGCAGCCCCATGAATATAATAAAAAATGCTGGATTATAAATTTGAAGTATAATTGTATCATATGTAAATTATAACTCAACAAAGCTGTTTAAAAAGAAAACCAAGTTTTAAAATGCATTGGCAGTTTTGCAAACATTTCTGCTCAATTCCAAGAGAGTAAAAGGAACACACAAAATACATTTCTCCCAGATATTCTATAAAAAAAGATGGATAGCTGTCGTCTAACAAGAACCAGGAGAAAAGCATTTTAATTAATATAGAACGTTATAAATTTACTCATGAAATATAAATTTTAAATTATCTTTTTATAGATATGCTTTATTATGCTTCCTAACTTTACATGCATTAAAGATACAATTTTTGTACATATTATATATCTGTGTGACACAAATCTTTTTTAACAATGCTAATTTCATTATGTATTACTTCATATTAAGACAGTAATTAAAAATAAAAATAATTATGTCCACCTATTATGTCATTAGCTCAAACATGCTTAACAAGGAAGAGAACTTGTGACTGTTACCAACTAAAAAAAATGAAATTTTATAGGACTTATTTACTATTATGCAGCAAGATACCTTCCAGGTGAACTACTTCTAAAAAGACCTCCCAGTTCTCTCTCATCCTACCATGTGTCTTCTTCCATCTACTCCAAGTTTAATGAGGCAGGGCCATTACTCCTCTCCCCAACACGGAATTTACAAACATAATCAAAAATGATTCAAGGGACAGCTGCTCTGGTGCTTATGCTTTGGAACTGAACCCGAAGCTGAAAAAAAACAGCTCTGAAGGACACAAGCCTGAGAGTAAAATTCAGTTTCAATACAAGGCAACATGCATCTTCTGAGCCCAGAGCAATAACCGTTATGTCTGGGTTTGCAACCTTCACAGCAAGGGCATAAAAACACGCACCTGGCCTGGATCGTTGTACCAAAGTTCATCATGAAGCCGGTCAGGGTGGGCCTTTTTGCGTTTGATTTCTGCAATAACGTCAAAAACTTCAGAGTCTGAGCTGCTAGAACAGGTGCTGTCCTCATCAGACTCACACTCGGATTCACTGGAACTCTCTAACAGGGGTTGGGAGAAAAACACAGAAACTGATGGAATTAACAAACTGGGTCTTTTCTTTTCCTTTTTTTTTTTTTTTTTTTTGGAGACAGAGTCTTGCTCTGTCACCCAGGCGGGAGTGCAGGGTGTCTCACTCTGTCACCCAGACTGGAGTGCAGTGCATGATCTCAGCTCACTGCAACCTCCGCCTCCCAAGTTCAAGTGATTCTCCTGCCTTAGCAGGATTACAGGCGCCCACCACCAGACCCAGCTAACTTTTGTATTTTCAGTAGAGACAAGATTTTGCCATGTTGGCCAGGCTGGTCTCGAACTCCTGACCTCAGGTGAAACGCCCGTCTCAGCCTCCCAAAGTGCTGGGAGTATAGGCATGAACCACCGCATCCGGCTGACAAATTGGTTTTTGTGGAGACTTCCAAATGACCTAAACCTCTAGAGGTAAGAAGAGTTCTTTATTCTTCTAGAAAATACTTAAGGGCCTACTCTACACCAAATACTCTACTAAGCAATACCACAAAAAAAAAATAGACAATGCTAAGTCACAATCTAGTTGGGGAAGCAAAGAAAATAAACATCTTTAGAGAAAAAGTAAGACTCAATGCGCAATGTCAGATAAAATGAAAAACCATAGTAGTAGTATGTAGTTTAACACTTCAGCTATGTAATGATCCACAAAAGGGCTGTTTCACTGGGATCCAGAAAGGCTGGTGATAATTTCAAAGAAGGAGCACATGTGACCCAAGCACTGCAACGGGATGGGAGAAGCATGATAAGGAGGAGAGAAGAAGAAAGGAATGAAGAGGGAGCACCAAAGGCAAAAGCATGGAGCTAAGAATACAGTGGACTAGCCAGAGTGCGGGCCACACAGAAAAACACCGGGAGGTTAGGGCTGGGAGTGCTGAGAATGCCACAGTGAAGGCTGGGAATGCAAGACCAAAGACTTGACATTTTTTTCCCTCAATAACAGCAAGAGAAGATGTTAGTCCTTAAAGTGACTGAATAAAAACAGACACAGACTTACGCTAACTGAAACAAGCCAGTCACAAAAAGACAAATATACATGATTCCACATATATGAGATACCTGAGAGTCAAATTCATAGAGAAAGAAAGCAGCATAGTAGTAATAAGGGAACAGGGAATTGGGGTCTGGGGAGTTATTCCTTAACAGGTACAGAGTTTCAGTTTTATGAAAGGAAAATAGTTCTGGCTACTGGTTGCAAACAATGTCATGTTGAACCCTACTGAACCGTATGCTTAAAAATGGTTACGATGGTAAATTTCATATTATGTCTATTTTACCACCATTTTTTTTTAAAAAGACCTAGAAGTTAATCCTACATAGTGAGATTCCATCACTACAAAAAGAAAAATAATTAGTTTTTAAAATAAATTAATCCTGTAAGAGATTAACGTAGTAGTAGCATAATAAAATCCAACATGGAGTTGTATTTACATGTACTGCATGAGATAGATACTACTGTCATCCCTATTTTACAAATGGGAAAAATCTGAGATGGAGACGAACTTCTGGACCAAGGTCACATATCAAGTAGGTGGTAGAGCAGGGATTCAAACCCAGGCCATCCAGCTCCCGACTCAGCTGCCTTTGCCCAGTATGGATAACTGCCTCTCAGCATGTGGGATGTCATGGAGGTGGGCAGATGAGAGCCAGAGAGAACATGCAGGTAAATGCACACTGAATGTCTTATCTGTGCATGGCATTCTGTTAGGGTCTAAGGATAGAAAGTGGTAAAAAGTAATTTCCATCCTCAAAGATCTCACCACCTACTTGGAACCTCAGAACATACAAATGAAAAAATAGACCACTTTATGAAAAAGCTATGCAAACTGTCTACACGAGTGGAGAGAAACCTTCAAACAGAGCTGGGCTATAGTCGTTGTTTCCCTCATCAAACCAGGCACACCTGGCAAAGGAGAGGGCCAAGGAAGGACGTCTGTCCTCATGAGAGGCAGGGGGCACAGGCTCCTTCTTTTAGAAAGATGCTGAACTCTTCTGACTGGACAACTCTCCAAGGGGCACCCTTGTTGGCATGCCTTGCAAATGAGATCACGGCTGTATTCTGCCAAATGTAACTAGGAAAAATACGATCAAAAAGGAGGAAGTTCCACTTCTATGTATCTTACTGACTGTAATTAAGAAAAATAAAATGAAAAAGAAGAAATCTCAATGTGGGACTCTCAAGGGTATATCCCCAAAATTCAGGAATGAAGCTATAATAGCAACGGTCTCAGACTAGTTAATGACTCTGACTCACCTAAATCTTCATCGAGCTTCGTCTTCGGAGGTTCCCACGGAGGCCGAGCAGCTTTAGCCTTTTCTTGCCTGCTCCCCAACTCCTCCTCAAATTTGTCATATAAGTCACGAAGCCTACTTGTTCCAACTACTGTAGAATCTCCCTTTTAAAAATAAAGGATCACTATTAGAAACTATATCAATAACAACCATATCAAAGATATGTAAGATCTCACAGGTAATCAAAGCATTTTTAACAGCAAGATGCTATTTTTCAACCCTCAATTTAACAAACATTTAAAAACAAAACGCTCAAGTACTGGCAATCATACTCTGAATCAAACACACACTTATCGCTGACACAGTCCTCAGGTAAATGTGCCTTGCCAACATTCAGAAACATTAGAGCAGGCCAGGTGTGGTTGCTCATGCCTGTAATCCTAGCACACTTTGAGAGGCAGAGGCAGGAGGATTGCTTGAGGCAAGGAGTTCAAGACCAGCCTGAGCAACATAGCAAGACCCTAACTCTATGGAAAAGAAAAAAATTAGCCAGGTGGTGTGTGCCTGTGCTACTTGGGAGGCTAAGGCAGGAGAACTGTTTGAGCCCAAGAGTTGGAGGAAGCAGCGAGCCATGACTATGCCACTATACTCTAGCCTGGGTGACACAATGAGACCTCATCTCAAAAAAAAAAAAAAAAAGAAAAGAAACATTATAACAGTTCATCTACGCCCTCTTAATATGACATTTTTTTAAAAATCATGACTTCAGAGAATCGTAACAACTGACACCAAATACCCTCCTAGCGAATGTACACTTCCTACTGAAAAATCACTGATAATCTGTCTTCTCCTATACTAATCCAACAAGGAACAACATATATATCCTCTTTGTCTCTCTCTCACACACACACACACACACACACACACACTCACGCCTTAAACACAAGGATATAAACATGCACACATTCTCTTTCACACACACACACAAACACATAGAACAAACATGGGACTCTATGAAGCATTCCTAGAGGAAATTTTCCACTTTTCCTCACTCATTTTCCAGGCTGAAAATCATTTTACATGTCCACACTCTGACTTAGTAGCCTTAAAATGTAAAAACCAGACCTGCCAAACGTAAAATTAAGGCAAATCATAAAATCCGGTACCCAGAAGAAGGGATAATTCAGGCCCCATCTCATTGTTGAGAGTGGCGATGCCGGTATAGCTTTGACATCCTCACCATGTTCTCTGCACCACAGACAACAAAACTCAAAGGCAAATGTCAGTCTTTAGAGTTTATCAGTCTTCCTCCTACACTGGAGTTTTAATATACTCGTATAAATATGTAATAAAAAAACAACCAGCTCTGCCTGTTTAAACTCCCTGAACTTCAGTGTCTTCATCTTTATTGTTTTAAGAATAATAACACCTATGGCAGCCATTCTTTCCTTCTTCCTAATAGAAGCAGTATTCTATCAGATTTGGGGCAGAGAACTGCTGATCTCTGGGAAGGTAGACTGAGCCACCCACCCCTCCCAAAGATGTCCATGCCCTAATCCCCAGAAATTAAATATATATGTTAACTTACATGGCAAAACAGACTTGCAGCTGGGTGGACCCAATCTTAGCACAAGAGCTCTTAAAAGCAGGGAACCTTTGCCAACAGGGGTCAGAGATGTAACAGAAAAAGAGGCAAGAGATATTTAAAGCATGAGAAGGACTCAACCACCATTACTGGCTTTGAAGACAGAGGAAGGGATCCACAAGTCAAGGAATGCACATGGCCTGGAGGAACCAAGAAGTGCCCTGACCTTACAGCCAGCAAGGATACAAGGTCCTCTGTCCTCCAGACACAAGGAACTGAACTCTGCCAGCAACCTGAATGAGCAAGAAAACAGATTTTCTCCAGAGCCTCCATAAAGGAACATAGACCTGCTGACATCCTGATGGAGCCAGTGAGACCCAAGCTGGACTTCTGGCCTCCCGAGCTGTGAGAGGACAAATGTGTGTGGTTTCAAGCCATGCTGTTTGTGGAACTCTGTCATGGCAGTAAGGAAAAACAAATCCCTGGGGTAGGCATGTCACATGGCTCTGGTAAAGGGATGGAAGGGGAGTCAAGGGATGAAAGGAGAGCTTGGGCAAGACACTGGAAGAATGCTCACCCAACCTGCCCTCTGCATCCTGCATGTGGGGACACGGGTGTATAAGGACCTGAGGCCTGCTGGTCCTGCATCATCCTGTAACTGTGGAAGATGCTCAGGAAGACAGCACGGCCTGCCATCACTAAGCCACTCAGTGAACACCAGCCATGGCCTCCCTCCAGGTACCTTATCATGAGAAGAACAAACCCAGCTTGTTTAAGTCCCACTTAGTCAGGTGTTATTACTCCCAGCAGCATTTCTAACTGACAGAAAGACCCTCTTGCCAAGGGTATTTTCAGGGTTAACTAAGACAACATGAGAAGCATGGAGTAACGTTCTGGCACCGTGAAAGTGCACAGTATGTGAGCTTTCCCTTCCCTGTACCACATGAACTATGACTTAAAAGCCTGCTCTAATTTATCAAATAAAATATCACACCACTATGAGAGACTTCTCAAATCCTTTGTTTCCAAAAACACAGAAATCTCAAGTTCCCCACAGATCAAGTCCAAACAGAAGCTATTTTCACAAAATTCCAAACAAAACCCTCTCTTATCTCTTACCTAATCCCATGCACTAAATCTAACATCTGCAACTTTTCATGCCCTAAATCTGTACGAGTTCATTGATTAAATGAATGAGATGTCCACTCATTCATTTAATCAATGAACATTACTGCATGCCTACTCTGTGGCAAATATGCCTAACAGGATGGAGGCATAATGCCTAAGGGGAAGAGAGGAAGAGGGCAAGAGAGAGCAAAAAGGAGACAGGGACAGAAAATAAAATGGAGATGGAAGAAAGAAAAGAGAAGTGAGCATGTAGAGATAGTGGTGGAGTCTGCGATGGCAATGTACCACCACAGGCACCCCAGCCCTGGCAGCATATGCTCTAGGAGTCCTCCCTCCAGCCCATTAAGGGTGACAATGGCTCTCCCTTTCTGCAAAACTAGCTGATATGCATGGGCAACTTCATAGGGTTGGTGCTCTTTTGGTCAAGGATACACTTCGAAGAGACAAACTCAAATTCTTCCTTATTTCTCATTTTGGAGGAAAAAAACACACACATATACACATACACACCACAAACTGCATAAACTAGTTACACATGAAAGCTTATGAAACCACCAGTATCGAGACTACCAGTATCATTAAAAATGTAGAATAGGCTGGGCACAGTGACTCACACATGTAATCCCAGCACTTTGGGAGGCCAAGGCCAGAGGATTGCTTGAGCTCAGGAGTTCGAGACCAGAGTGGACAACAGTATGACCTCATCTCTACTAAAAAATAAATAAATAAATTAGCCAGTCACGGTGGCTGCTGTCCCAGTAGTTCCAGCTACTCAGGAGGCTGAAGTGGGAGAATCACTTGAGCCTGGAAGATCAAGGCTGCAGTGAACCACGATCGTGCCACTGCACTCCAGCCTGGGTGGCAGAGCAAGACCGTCTCAAATAAAAAAAATTCATTGTAAAAAGATACTTTAATTAACCTACTGCACTCTTGGCCTTTCGCTTTTTAAAACACCTTTTGTCTGTAATAGTAATTCTCAACTGGGGGTGATCTTTCCCCCCAAGGGACATTTAGCAATATTTGAAGACAACTGGGGAGGGGTACTACTGGCATCTAATAGGCAGAGCCCAGAGATGCTGCTAAACATCCTACAATACATAGGGCAGTCCCCACAATCAATAATTATCCAGCCCCAAATGCCAATAGTGACAACACACAGAAACCCTGGTCTACAGCTTGTCTGCTACTTCGGACCTACCACCTGATCCATGGGGTCACTGGAGTAGTAGTTTTCTGAATGAGTGCATCGAATCCACACAGGCTTAAGAAGTTCTTCTTCCTCCTCCTCATTCTTGTCAGGCGTGGTCTCCTCAGGCTCTTTTTCCTTGATTGAGGTATAGTTCTTGTCTTTGCCAGAGCTCTGGTTGTCACTCCATCGGTCTTTTTCTTCCTCCCAACGAGCTCTCTTCTTCTCCCTACTTGGGGAGCGACTTCAAAAGAGGGCAAAGGAGATTAATTATTAAAAATACTCTGCCATTATAAAAACTATTCTATTTCACCTACTTGGTGCATTTTTCACCTAAAATATGAATACCATGCCAAATCACCATGTGTACTTTTGTTAAACCAGTGATTCCCAAATACCAGTCTGGTGGCATCAGAATCACCTGAAGTTTACTTGTTTAAAAATACAAATTCCCAGGCCCCACCCCAGATCTACTTACTGATTCACAATCTCCAGGGGTGGGGCCCAAGAATCTGTATTTTTAATAATCTCCCCAGGTAATTCTGGTGTGCATCCAGCAGGTTCAGGAACAACCGATAAACCATAACTCCTAAAAGAAAAACATATTTGCGAAATGTTTGGAAATGTCCATGTATGGACAAATTCAGCAATGAGAATACCAGTTTCGAATCCTCCACATCTGTCTTTGCCAGGAAAAAAAGACTTTAAAATTTCACAAAACAGGGTCTCAATATGGCCATAAGTTTAGCCTGAGGACTATAATTATAATCCAAGAATGAACCAGTTATGTCATCCCTAACTATGTCTCTGGAACCCCAGTGCTGGGCATTACTACTTGGGGAACCAACACTTTGCCTAATTTTGGTCCTCACAAATATTAATATTAACTCAGTCAATAAAGAAGGATGAAAAAACAACTCCATCTCCTTGACTTCCTGGGGCTTGAAATCTGCAAAGACCCATCCGATGGATGTACTTGGAGGGAAAAACCTATAGGATCAGCTGGGCATGGTGGCTCACGTCTGTAATCCCAGCACTTAAGCCCAGGGGTTCCAGACCAGCCTCAGTAACATGGTGAAATCCTGTCTCTACAAGAAATACAAAATTTAGCCAGGCGTGTTGGTGCACACCTGTAGTCCCAGCTACTCAGGAGGCTGAGGTGGGAGGATCACATGAGCCTGAAAGGCTGAGGCTGTAGTGAGATATGATCGTACCACGCACTCCAGCCTGGGCAACAGAGCAAAACCCTATCTCAAAACAACAATGATAACAACAAAACCTATAGGGTGGATTTTAATTTAAGCCCAAGAAATTTAGGTAGAACACAGAAACCTTGAGAATCCAGCTAAGTAGAAAAACTGCTTTGTAAGCCCAGCTGGTAGCCTTCACAGCTCCACTGACAAAGTTACTACTATCCATGAAAGTTTACATCCAGATCAAAGTAACAAGTATTCTCATTAACTCTACCACTAACTTGTAATTTTATAACAGGCAAAGTCTGTATGTACATATGCGTGTGCAGGTATGCATACTTGGGGAGGATTACAAAGGGTATATATATTATTTATACAACTTCTAAACATTACAATATGCATCATTAGTTTTGTTACCAGAAAAATTACTGTCAATGTATGTCCACTGTAGAAAAAAATAAAGCACAAACATAAACAAAAATAAAACAAAAACCACACATAACACCACTCAGAGGTAATCACTATATTTCACAAATGTTTTAATGTTATAGCCTGACCTTCTCATTCAGTAGTAAATCAGGAACAGCTATTTCAATAATTCTATATTTGGAGCATTTTTAATATGTGTATTATTATTCTAAGTATATGCCATAATTTAACAAATCTAATAATAGTCATTTAGGTTAACATTTACTTTTCTTCCACCATAAACAATGCTATCATGAACACATTTGTGTTCTTTGCACACTTGTCAGATTCTTTCCTAGATGTATACTTTTTAAGGCTTCTCTCTAGTTTGGTAGTACTCGTTTAGACTACCATCAAAACCACATAAGAGTTCCCATTTCCACACATCCCATCACCACGGTTATTTTTCATCTTTGCCATTCTGATGAAAAAGTATTTTCATATAATTTAATTTGAAATATTTTATCAATACTGAAATGAATACATTTCATGCTTACTTCTTTTGTGAACATTCTGGTCATATGCAAATTCTGGTCATAGGCTATGCAAATATTTTTAAAATTATGATTAGAGTCTTTTTGTTGAAACAGTTTTCATTAAGATATCTGTCCTCCCTCTGTCATATGCATTGTAACCATTTCCAGTTTCTTCCTTTGAAATCTGTTTGTTTGTGGCTACATACAACTTTTATAAAGTTAAATCTAGAGATCTTTTTATGCTCCCTGCCTTAGTATGCTTGGAAGTCATTTCCTATCCCAAGGTTAAAAAAAGATTTTATATTTTCATCAGTTACTTTTAATACAATTTTTAAATTCTCTCTCTCCAAGGTGTAAGGCAGAAATCTAAACTCAATTTTTCCTCCAAATGGCTCACCAACTGCCAATTTCTCCTCTGATTTGAAAAAAAATATATTCTTTATCACATGTAACTTTATATATTATTTATTAGATGTAATATATATTCTTGAATGTTGCTCTATAGTTGTTTCATTGATCTATTTAACCTGTATCAAATTTTTTTAATTATTATATATTTCCAGAACATTTAATACTTCCAGAGTAAGTATCCTTGCATTACTATTTATCTTCATTATCCTAACTTCTATCCCAAGGAAAAGTTAAAGAGTCATTACGAAGTTCTAAAGTCAGTACTCTGGGTCAGACATGGTGGCTCATGCCTGTAATCCCAGCACTTCGGGAGGCCGAGGTAGGAAGATCACTTGAGGCCAGTAGTTCAAGACCGACCTGGCCAACAAAGTGAGATCCCCATCTCTTTTTACATTTTTAAAACTACAAAAAAAAAAACACAGTACTTTAACTGAAGTTACAATAAAATTATAGATTACAGTCACGTGTCACTTAACAACAGAGATACATTCTAAGAAATGAGTCCTTAGGTGATTTCATTACTGTTCAAACATCACAGTGTGCCTACACAAACTTAGATGGTATAGCCTACTACATGCCTAGGACAGGTGGTATAGCCTGTTGCTACTAGGCTACAAATCTGTACAGCATGTGACTGTACTGAATACTGCAGGCAATTATAATACAATGGTAAGTATTTGTGTACCCAGACACATTTGAACATAGAAAAGGTCCAGTAAAAAAATAAGGTATTATAATCTTTGGGACCAGTGTTGTATAGAGCCTGTCACTGACTGAAATGCCATGTGGTGCCTGATTATATTGTGAAGAAAACTGGTATTTTTACAACATGGTTATCCACTACAGGAACAGGACATACCTTCCTTTCACTACATCACCTTCTTTGTCATCAGCTACATTTTATTAGTTTTCTTCCCATTGGTCCTATGCATTATAAGATGCTTAATTTATTAATAACTTTCCAAAGTGAATTGTAAATTTAATTTTTCTTTGCATTACACTTTCTAACCAGGTAGTCCCTTTTATTAAAAAGGCTATTAAATACTGTCAGGTAATAATGGCAACTCTAGTGGCTCTTTTTTGTTTGTTTTGGTGCTTACTCTGAGGCTGGCACTCTGCTGAGCACTTTACTGACATTTCACATTTAATCCTGACAGCAACCCTAGAAGGGAGATACAAACACCCCCTACAAAGGAGGAAACAGCCTTGAAAATCAGTCACTTATCTAATATGATAAACCTAGGAAGTGGTAGTTAAATGCTAATATGGTTGATACAGACATTTCAGCATGTTCTGAAAAGAAATCCCACCAAATGTTTATTATTATTGCCAAGAAACACAGGCAAAAGACATCCTCACCCACCCTTTTAAGCAGGCGTTGTGAATGATGTAATGAATGGTCAGGGTCATCTGTTGTAAACATCAATTAATATTTCTTTCTAACATTTTGAGAAGGGCATTTCAACACAGAACAAAAGATCTTTTTTAGGTAAGTATCTCAGGCACTCCAAAATTCAAAATCCAAACTCCCAATGTTTCTTCTTGCCAATATGCTATAGGGCAAACTGGTAACTTTTCCCCTTCATAGTTTTCCATCTCTCATTTTTATTTTCTACTGCATTAGTCAGAACTCATAGAATTCAAGTCTACCTTCTCTGTAAGCTACCAACCATTAGAGAAGAAACCATTAAACCGAGGCTATTTCCAGCACTTATACCTTAAAAATCATCCACCTCAAATAGGTCCTCAATGATGTCCACTGACACAATACCCTCACTTTTCTCCTATCTCCTCTCCTTCTCCTCAGGCCCTCTTTTCATGCTTCCTAATTAATCCTATCTAATCCATGGCATTTCATCCTTCCTAATTAATCTCATCTAATCCACAGCAATATGTAAGTGTCCTATCAAACGCACTTCCAGCACTTAACTTTCCTTTTCTATTAAGTGGGGGCCTTTGTTAATGACTCTATCACCCATACCAGTACAATACCCGGGACACACAAACACACCATGTTTTTAATTCGCATGTTGATTGTATCATAAGGATATTCAGTAACAATTATAAGCAATGGGGTCACCTTGCCTTTTTTCAAATTTGTATGGGAAAGGCCTGCAGGTTTCAACACCACATTTGACTCTCTGGGGTGGTATCCATCAGGTTCATCATGAGCTAGCGTTCTTCATCATGTTAAAGACATCTGCTAATATTTCTAGTTTACTAGTTTTTACGCACAAATGGATGTTGGTTTTACTTTAAATACCTAAAAGGCAAGTACTGAGATAACCCTACAGATCTTGACACAAAGAATACAGATTTTCTAATATTAACTTTTCTATCCATGCAGTCTTGGAATAAACTCTATCAGTTATTTTAACAAACTACTGAAAACATTTGCTAATATCCTAATTAGTGATTTTATATCCATATTTGTAAGAGAGATTGCTGTGTCATTTTTGTGCCATTTTTTTCCCTTGGTTAGGTCTTGCCATCTGGTTTTTCCTGCTACCACAGAATGATCTGAGCTTTCCTTCCATCTTTAAGTGTTCAAGATCACTTTAAAACTTTTTTTAGAGGTGGTGCAAAGTAAGCTTTTTCCATTTTTTCCAGTTATTGACCTATTAAAGTTTTCTGCTTCTTGTGTGAAATTATTTTTGTTTTCTTAGAAACCAACCCATCACATTCAAGTTAATTTTTATACGGTTTTAAATTTTTAAATTTCTTTTCATTCCTGTAATAATACACTTTCTCAAACCTAATATTATGTAGATTTTTCTTTTCTTGATTTCCCACTTTAAAAATTGTATTTGCATTTACTTACAATATAGTTATATCACTATAGTTCTGTTTTCATTTCATTAATTTATCTTTAAATCCCTTTTTCTGCTTTTCTTAAGTTCCACCAATTTCTATAGCCAAGTGCTCAGATAATAATTACATATACAGTTACCACTTATTTGGCACTTACTTCAGGCCAGTTCTAAGTGTTTGACATGCATTATCTCAATGACCCCTTATCACTCAAGAAGGTACATATAATGGTCCTTATCTTACAAACAAAGAAACTGATAACTGTGCCCAGTAATAAAGTTGGGAAAGCTAATAACTGACCCCGAATCTGTCAGATTCTAGAGTGCTGTTGTTCATTACCATTATATTAATGTAAGACCAAAAATTTTACTTTGGGATATAGAATTGATTACACCCTTTAAGTTGTGGGTGATAGCAATCTCAATGTCATTTTCTAATGAAAATATGACTGCAGTTTTGCTCTTTTTTTCTGAAACATGTAAATTTAAGAGCGTAATTATGAATTTCCAAGGTTTTCTAAAATTATCAATGTATAGTTTTATAGCACTGTGGTCAGAAAAAGTGGTCTGTATAATTTCTAATTTTTGGAAATTTATCAAGATTTTCCCTGGGCATAATCAATGCATCTTGAAAGTAAAGTTTTTTAAATTAAAGGCTGTTTAGCTTTTCACAGGTCACCTTGGACAGACTCTGAGGCCATTATGAAGACTTGGCTGCTGCTCTGTACAAGCACAAAATTTGAATTCAAGGAGATAATCCTACAACTTCTTTCAGTGTCAACTCCTTGCTTACCTTCCAGATCTCTTATACTCTTTTTTGTAGGACCTTTCCAGAGATGGTGATCTTCGGTTGTCTCGATGCCTGTGTCTCTCCCGTTCTCGCTCTCTTAAAGGAATTAATACACAGAGCTGTTTTCAACAGAAAGACTCAAAAACACCATCTCTTTTCACTGAATTCATCTTCTAGATAAATGGACCACATCTATGAATTTTTCAGGCACTATTCACTAGGGGACATTTTTATGCCTTCTTAATTTATTAGAAGATAAAGGAGCTTTTCACTTTACAGAAGTTAACTAACTTGGACAATTTTTGCAGTTTTCTTTAAAGAAAGCAGTCATACGTGATGCTATGCAATAATGGGAATCTTATCCTAATCTTCCCTTAAGACCCTGCAATCAGTCAATCCTTGGTTATTGAACCTAGAGGGAAAACTCTAAAGAACTCCACATCCTATTGATTTCTAGAAAATGCTCTATCTCACCCATCAAATAAATATAAATTATAAAGCTTTTATAGTGAAAATCAGGACAAGATTCTATAATGAAAGAGTTCTTAATGCTTATGGCTTATATGCTTGAGTTGTAGTTCCAGCTATCACTAACCTGCCTTGAGGCCATGACTAAGTCACTTGAATGCTATTTTTCATCTGGAAAAAAACTAAATGGAGATTTTGGGCTTACTTAATGTAAAAAAAAAAAGATGAGGAATTTTTAAAACCTTCCAATGTAAAACTGGGGTTTAATAATATTAACAGCTTTTGAGCCTATTTAACAATGAGGATCTAGAAGAGAAATCTGAACTCCAGTGTGACTGAATCAGAACTACAAGTCTAAAGGAAGTAACCTTCCTATCTTAGAACAGGAAAAATAAAATGCTAGATTAACCTGAGTCCAGAAAGAAGACCATAAAAATGTTTGAACTCAAAAATATTCCCCAACCTATCGCCAAACAGAAATGTCGATACATTGAAAATAGAACTTACAAAACTGACAGATATCAGTAAGTGCTTAAATATTAAAATAGAAATTGTTTTCCACTTAAAGATTCCCCTGTTCTAAAGGAAGACTCCTTTGAATAATGTTTCTGATATATACACAATCCTCAGATATACACCAGCTAACCCAAATAAAGCAGTCAGAGATTCGGATTCTACATTCTTCATCTCATATATTTCTAAAATCACAGTTTACATTTGGGCAGTAAATTTTAGTTATTGTATAGAAATTAGTGAACCACGCCACATGTCAAAGATATATCTAATTTGTAATGACATGGCTGTTGAAAAGAATAATTGCCTACATTTCTAAATAAAAATTCTAATTAGAGAATATTTCTAATTTTTGTTTTTTAACATATAGCCAATAGAATTTTGCATTTAAGAATAACACTTCTAATGATGATTGGTACCTCTGAGTGGGTAGGACCTGAAAAGACCAATTTGGATATAAATAACATTAGTAACACTATTAAGACAAATTCATTTAAAGCAAGGAAAGCTATGTTTGTGTTACTTTTCCCAAGATTCTTCCTTGTTTGCAAACATTAAGATATTCCTTAGGTACATTAGGCTAGTTCTCCAATAGCTACACATTTACCGTTCCAAGGACAGCGATGAGAATTCCTGTGTGGTAGTGCTCCCTAGCTAGGCGAAGCCCAGGGCACACTTCCTTACCACTCTGCTCAACAATGTACTTGGTGCACTACATTTGCCTGTAGCGATTTCTTTCCTTATCCCCTGGAGTAACTTTCATTTTTCATGACAACAAATATATATATCCACTTCTTCACAGACCTTTTCTAAACACAGTCCACCCTAAGACAATCTTGCAATTATTATTCAACCACATTTTGGAGGCAGAGAAAAATAGGGAAGACAGAATTTGTAAAAGGATAGATTCACTTACCCCAAGAAGCAGGGGAGGAGCAGCCAGAGAACAGACTATAGAATTTGCATAAACTTAACACAGTCCAAATTTATGAAGATTCCGTTTTCCCAGTATACTTCTAGAAGTTATATTAGGACTTCATGTGCTCCATGTTTGTTTCACAAAAGCATGTCATATAAGACAAATGACTGATATTCCACCTAATTAATATCCCAAAGGGAGCCAATTCTAATGTAGCTATGCCACTAGGCAGCTCCAAAACAAATGCCCCAAGTACATTATAAAACAACTCGAATATAAATAAAGACCATTTTAGAAAGATATAGATCCTCATAGCAAAGGAGTGTGGTTTAGAATAAATCAGGTTAGAAGTAATTCTTACGACACTTGATTTTACTGAGATCTTCAATTCACAGGACATTCGAGTTTCTTCAAACAAATACATAACTCAAAGTTGAAGACTTGATGGAAAAATTTAGGATTTACAGCAGAGCCCTGACAACTCCTCTAATTACAGCATCTCAAAACGGAAGGGGAAATACAACATTATCTAGAATGCTTGCTGTAAAATGTTTTCCCAGAAACGAAATTATTAACAATTACTTTGGAGTCTGAAGAGAACTATTTACAAACTATTTACCGATTACTCTTTCCAGTTTACATTTGCACTACAAAACTATCATAAAAATGACAGTAACATTAACTATCACACGCCAGCCAGGAGTGGTGGCTCACGACTATAATCCCAGCACTTTAGGAGGCCAAGGCAGGCGGATCACTTGAGGTCAGATGAGACCAGCCTGACCAACATGGTGAAACCCCGCCTCTACTAAAAATACAAAAATTAGCCGGGCATGGTGGCAGTGCCTATAATCCCACCTACTCGGGAGGCTGAGGCTGGAGAATCGCTTGAACCTGGGAGGCAGAGGTTGCAGTGAGCTGAGATCGCGCCATCGCACTCCAGCCTGGGGGACAAGAGCAAGACTTTGTCTCCAAAAAAAAAAAAAAACTATCACATGCCTATGACTCTGCCAACTAGTACATCACAGAATATTGACCAGAAACAGTAGTTCATGCTGAAAAGATTTTTAAAGTCTACCAACTCTCACTCAGCTTTGGCCCACCAGAAATCAGTCATCCCTACAAGAAACACATTCCCTTCTACCTTCTACCAGGCCACCAGGGAGAGGCAACAAAGCATTTTCCTTCTGAACCTTCTAAGCATTAATCCCTCTCTTCAAGGCAGAGAATGACCACTATCATTTAATTGACTGGCAAAATGTTTAGTCAGAGCCAAATTGATAAAGCCATGAGAAAAGTGTGGAAACAGATGTGAATTGTTGCTTTTGTTTGGCAGAGCAACAAGAGCCAAGACCAGCTCTCTGCAAACCCATAGTGAAGTCACTTGGTCTGGGGAGCTCAAACACTTTCAGCACAAAAGTTCCACAAGACAATGAAGGTAAGTACACTACTGGGGAAAGAAAGAGAAGCACCATTATTAGCTTGACAATAGAAGACCTCAAATCTTCATCAACGTAAGAGTTCACCGAGGCATAAATAAACATTAGCACAATTGATATGTGTCTTTTATTTTTCCATATAAACCAATGGTTCTTAGGCTTTTCGGGTAACAAACTCACACCCTCCTCTTTAAGAATCTGATGTAAGCTTCCTTATAGAAAAACACACACACACAAAAGTTGCATATAACTTCAGAGTATTTATGTAAGCCCAGCTAGAATCCCAGTTTTAGAAATGCCTCCTTGAAACCTTATTTCTCTCGTATTTATACATATTTGGTCTTTTGAAAAAAGAAATGTAATATAGAATGAAACAGTATTTTTTAACTACAACTTTCTTCAGTAAGAATCCATTTCAATGCAACAAAATCAGATTAAAAGCAATTTTGGGCCAGGTATGGTGGCTCACATCTATAATCCCAACACTTTAGGAGGCCGAGGTGAGTGGATCACTTGAGTTCAGGAGCTCAAGACCAGCCTGGCCAACATGGTAAAACCCTGTCTCTGCTAAAAATACAAAAATTAGGCCAGCCACGGTGGCTCACACCTGTAATCCCAGCACTTTGGGAGGCTGACGGGGGCTGATCACCTGAGGTGAGGAGTTCGAGACCAGCCTGGCCAACATGGCAAAACCCCGTCTCTACTAAAAATACAAAAATTAGCTGGGCGTGGTGGTGCACACCTGTAATCCCAGCTACTCAGGAGGCTGAGGCAGGAGAATCACCTGAACCCAGAGGCAGAGGTTGCAGTGAGCAGAGATCGTGCCACTGCACTCTAGCCTAGGTGACAGAGCGAGACTCCATCTCAAAAAAAAAAAAAAAAAAAAAATTAGCGGGGTGTGGTCGTGTGTACCTGTAATCCTATCTACTTGGGAGGCTGAGGTGAGAGAATCGCTTGAACCAAGGAAACAGAGGTTGCAGCGAGCTGAGACTCGCCATTGCACTCCTGCCTGGACAACATAGCGAGACTCCATCATAAAAAAAAGAAAGAAAAACACTAACTTTCATAATGTATAAATAATTTTACTTCATTTTACAAAGAAACCAACCAAGAAGGCAACAATGTACAATAAATTTCCATTTATCCTAAAAATCAGAAAGTCCTGCCTGTTAACTAATTTGATTCTTTATTAACATGCAAATCGCCAGTTCCAAAAACACTCAAATGCTATAACCTGATATGATGATCACACTGAACATAATTTAATCTATGCTAACACAGAAAATACAAGATCTTTCAACTCATGGGATCATCATTAAAATGCCAACTGTATTATGCAGAGTGAAAGTCTTATATTAACTGAAATGAATCTACATTGATATATTTGGAATGCTTTTTAAAAGCAATTTTTTCTGACATCAACTTATTTACTTGTCAGTTGTTTCTTCCTCTTGAAAACAGAGTCCAAAGTGTGCTTCCTTTCCTCATATAAATCAAAATGCACTACTGGACCCTTTTGGTTTGGTTGCCATAAATGGAGAATGACTGTGTCTGGGCCTCTGCAGTTCATTAAAGAACTACGCACAAGTGGTTTACCTGCTCCGCTCGTAGCTGCGGTGGCGAGATGGTGTTCTCCCTCGGTCATAATCAATTCTGTACCGGCTGTCTTGTCTTCTCCTGTCGGGACTGCGGCCTCGCTCCCGCCGATCCAGGGACCGATGCCTCTCACCTCGCCCATGACTGTGATCTCGGTGCCTGTGATCATCATAGTGTTTCAGCCTTTCTGGGGACCTTCTCTCACTGGGAGCCTTTGGGAGTGGGTATGGAGGGAGATGTCTGAAATGAGGACTACTGCTGTTATTAGCACTGGGCAAGAAAGAACTAGGGTTGTTCTGGAAACTATTAAAACTGGGAGGTGGGAAGTTGTGGTGAGAATAGCCCGGAGGGTACTGATAATTAACCTGCTGCGGCATTACTGGAGGGGGCGGGGGATGAGGCATGGAGGGAGGGGGCATCATGAAGGGGAAAGTGCCTTGTCCAGGAGGTGCCCCGGGGACTGGGGGGTTATTAGGACAAGGCATTGGTGGTGGCATGGGAGGAAAACAAGGAGGAACTGGGAAGGGATGCCTCATCTGGTGGTTGGGGAAAGGAGGCCTGATTGGGCAGGGGGGAAGAGGGCCTTGTGCTGACGGAGGCATGGGTGGGGGGAAGGGTACAAAGTCTGGTCGTGGAGGGAGAAAATTAGGGGCTGGAGAGTTTGAGAAAGTGGTGGAAGGGACACTTGGAGGTTCATATTGATATTGCACAGGAGGCTGCTGAGGGTGAAGCAGTCTTAGATTTTGGGGCCTAAAGGATGGTGCTGAGGGTCTGGCTCCATGTCCTCCTCGTCCTCGGGGACACCCTCGTCCCGGGTGGAATGACATTCTGTGACTTCATGGCATAAAAGAAAAAGGGAAAAGTTTTTTTAAAAAAATAATCCTCACTATGTAAACAGGGTTTCACAAATGCCTGACCACCTTGATGAGCAACTCAAAGACCCCCTAGTCAAGCCACCGGAATATACCAACCATTTAACACTGAGTTCCTGCTAATATCTGAAACCCTCATGCTCAATAAACTCCTCTTCCCCTTTCTTGGCCACACAGCCCACTGCCATGTTTAGCCCTGGACCGACCATTCCTTAAAGCTGCTCCACTTCCAAAATGACGAATTCAATATCCCATTGTTCACCATTTGCTATTATGCCTTTGCTCAAGTTCCCCTCTGATCTTGACCTCACAAGAACAAGGGGGCTTGCCTCCCCAGACCCCGCTCCCACCTCCAAATGCATATTTGGGATTACCACCCTCCCTCTGCAATCCTCCACCTCTCCCTGCTACCAGACCCATCACATCAGCATTTGAAAGTGCTCACGTCTATTCCAATATAAAGTACTTCCGTTGGCCTCCACATCTCCCTTGACTTTGCCGGTTCTTTGCCCTCCCCTTCACAGTCAAATGACCTGAAAAAGTTGCTACAGACTGAATGTTTGTGTCCACCCCAAAATTAATGCTGATGAAACCCTAATGCTGATGTGATGCTATATGGAAGTGGCGACTCTGAGAGCTAATTATGATAGGATTAGTACCGTTATAAAGAGAGGAAGAAAAAAGAAGCCCCCGCCACCCACCCCTTGCCAGGTGAGACTACAACAAGAAGGCAGCTACCTACAAGGCAGGAGGAGGGCATGCATCAGAAACCTGGCTCTGCTGGTACCCTGATCTCAGACTGCCAGCCTCCAGAACTGTGAGAAATAAATGTTTACAGTTTAAGTTACCCAGTCTATAACATTTAGTCATGGCAGCCCAAGCTAAGACAAAACTGTATATACTTCCAACTCACTGTAATCCAACTTCAGCTTCTACCAGCACTCCAATAAGTGACATGATCAGTGTCCATCTTGTCTTGAAAACCAAAGGTCATTTTCAATTACCTTGCTTGATCTCTGTGCAGCAATCACCCCAGATGCCTCCCTACTTGCCTCCCTAGCCCCCACCCCCATGGATGCGTTTCTTGGCTTCCTGACATGATGCCTTCACTGTGGCCTTCCTACTCCTCAGGCTGTTCCTCCTGCAGTCTCCCATACCAGCTTCTTCTCTGCTAGCGGGACTTTAACCGTCTGGTATTCCTCAGGGGTCTAGCCCAGGCACTCTGCTCACTCTCTCTTCCAAACTGATGCTACCCACCTGCACTGCTTCAATTAACACCAATCTGTCAGTAACTCCCAAGTTACACCTTTAGCCCACAACTCCTAAGTTCCAGACCCACCCTGCCAATTGCCAACCCCATCTCTCTCCTTGAGTGTCTCACTGACTCTGCAAATTCAACATACCATATGCTAAAAGGAATTAATGACCTTCCCCTCCAAGACAAACATTTGCTCTTTTCCTAGTATTTCCTATCTCAATAAATGACACCATTAATGGTCCTAAGACATATACCAGGGAATCATCTGACTTGTCCTCCCTCACCCCCCATCCTTAGCTAAAAATTTATTTTAAAATTGCTGTCACTTATACGGCAACTATCCCTTAATAAAAAAATAAAGAAAAAAATCCTATTGTTTCTGCTTCATAAATATTTCCTGAATTCAACTACCTCACACCATCACCTCTTGCATGGCTATTACAATAATATCCTTGCTGGCCTTTCTATAACCACTGTCACTGACCCCAGCGCTTCGTTAGGCTCCTTGCTCTCACAATCCTCTGTGCTGCTTCTTGGCAGGTCTTACAATAATTACAGTCCACCTACTAAGGACCTAATTCCACCTTCTTTTTTTTTTTTGAGATGGAGTCTTGCTCTGTGGCCCAGGCTGGAGTGCAGTGGCACGATCTCCGCTCATTGCAAGCTCCGCCCCCCAGGTTCATGCCATTCTCCTGCCTCAGCCTCCCGAGTAACTGGGACTACAGGCCCCCACCATGACGCCCGGCTAATTTTTTTGTATTTTTAGCAGAGACGGGATTTCACAGTGTTCGCCAGGATGGTCTCGATCTCCTAACCTCGCGATCCACCCACCTCGGCCTCCCAAAGTGCTGGGATTACAGGCGTGAGCCACCACGCCCGGCCCTAATTCCACCTTTAATGTCTGCCTGCACGCGCTATCAGGGTAGTGCTCTGGGATGTCTATTAACTGTTCTGGTCTGGCTTCCTAGCCCTGTGCATGGCCCTCTATTGTATTGTGCCCACTGCTGAAAGAACGAGCACATCATCCCCTCTCCCCACGTATCTAAATCCTTTCCACCCTCCATAGCCCAGCACCAATGTTTGCTCCTCTCTCGGTTCTCCCAAACTACTGCCATTCCCATCACAGCACTCACCATGTGTTGCCCTGCATCATGACGTGCCGCCTGGGTATGTCACATCTTCCACAGAGAATATAAGCTCTAAAAAACAGAAAGAATAAAACAGACACAAATATGTTTCCCAAACTTCCAATGCTACAAAATATTTCTGCAATTACCATAACACTGATTTTGCAGTTTCCAATACACTTAGCCTACTAACAAAATTCAAAGTATGTTGAACTGTATTAAAGTTTCCAGCTAAATTTTTAATGTCCTTAAATTTTAAAATGTCATTATTACCAGTTTTGCCAACTCAAAACTATCAGCAGCTAAAGACTTATATCATAGGCATAGATCATCTTTAATTTGTTAAAAGACTTGGGAAAAAAATCATTTCCCCTCTCCCCCTTCATACTCTCACTTCCTTCATGGTAAAAACATGTAGGCATAGGCCGGGCGCGGTGGCTCACGCCTGTAATCCCAGCACTTTGGGAGGCCAAGGCAGGCGGATCACAAGGATAGGAGATCAAGACCATCCTGGCTAACACGGTGAAACCCTGTCTCTACTAAAAATACAAAAAATTAGCCAAGCGTGGTGGTGGGCACCTGTAGTCCCAGCTACTCGGGAGGCTGAGGCAGGAGAATGGCGTGAACCCGGGAGGCGGAGCTTCACACTCCAGCCTGGGTGACAGAGAGAGGCTCCGTCTAAAAAAAAAAAAAAAAAAAAAAAAAAATGTAGGCATAGACCAAACACAAAAATCACAGTGCGACCAGCATTCAAATTCAAACATAACCATAATCTTGTTAACACAACCGTTATGATTCTTGATTTTCATTCTCAGTTCCTCCCACAGGAAAACACTGTAAACATGAATATTTTCCAAATATTCGAACTTCAGCAAAACATTAAAAAAAACCTCACATAAATATTGAGTACAAAAAGCTTTAACATAGAAACATTTTCCTAAAGTCTTTCTAACTAAAAGTCTCACCAATAGAACTTAACTATGTAGACTTTCAAATGGCTCATGAAAATAATTTCAGATTATCTTAGCAATCAGTGTGCTTAATAAATAATAGGCACCAAATAATATCTTTTTTTTTTTTTAGAGACAGAGTCTCACTCTGTCCCTAGGCTGGAGTGCAGTGGTGCAATCATAGCTCACTGCTGTCTCTTACTCCTGGGCTCAAGCAATCCTCCCATGTTAGCCTCCGAAAAAGCTAGAACTACAGGCGTGAGTCACTGTGCCTGACTCCTGACTATTATTATCTAGTCCAGTACCCTCACGATAAACCTAGGGCCCAGACAGGTGCTCCTGAGGCTACTTACCGCCAACAGAATCAAGTTCAAAGTCTGTGCTTGGCATTTAAGGCCCTACAGACTCTGCACCCAGGCTTGTTCTCCAGTACCTTCCCCAGAAAGACCCTACTACCCCATGTTTTCCCAATGGATTACCATTCAAGTACAAAGAACCAGTTAGTTCTTTGCTCCCGTTCTACTTCTAAAATTTCTCACCCTAGGCAGAGGTTGCAGTGAGTTCAGATCGCACCATTGCACTCTAGCCTGGGCAACAAGAGTGAAACTCCATCTCAAAAAAAAAAAAAAAAAAATTCCCAACATATGAATCTGCCCAGTGATTTTTCTATCTATCTACCAATCTTAAATGCCACCTCCTCTATGAAGCCCTTCCTGATTCCCTTAGGTAATCCCATTCCCTCTAGACTTAGTCTATACTTAATTCTTCTACAGCACTTACCAGAGGCTGCCTCACATCACAGTGAAGTATGCACATGTCTAACTCCTCCACCAGATTATCAGCTCCTTGATGATATGGGTTGATTCACAGTCATTTCTGTATCCTTCACATCCCCAGGAAAAGGAACCTACACACAGTTGGTGGTCAATATATGTTTACTGTCTCACCAATAGTATATGTTTCCATGTTGCTACTGTACATTTCCATGTATCTCTGCAACAGAAAGCAGACCTTTTCACTGATTCATGCAATATTTAATGAGCCATACATGGGAAGTACTATCCCTGGCCTTGTAGACTCAGAGATAAGTAAGACACACAGCCTGTAGGATTCAAGGAACTCAGAACCCACATACAAGTAAGTATTTTTAAAATACTTGCAAAATAATGCAATAAACACACAAAAAAGAGGTATGTTCAGGGCTTAAGAGAACACAAAGGTGTGTGCTGCACCTAGGGGTGGGCAAAAGTCATTGTCATGAACACTCTTGCACAGTGTGAAACTGCCAGATCCTCATGGATGTTTCTGTAGTTAGAAAATTTAAAAATACTACTCATGAAATTGACCTATTGAAGGCATAGTCCGGCTATGTTGTGGATGTAGACTTTAATTCAAAAGTCAAGGAATTCACTGCAACTGGAAAAGTAACTCTTTTCTCCGTCTATCTCTTCTCGGTTGCGATTTGGAAGCAGAGACACTGAGGGAGCTGTCTTGAATAGTTAACACAGCCAGGAACGTCAGTACATGTAAAAAGAATTGTAAAATGTGACTACATTTTTACTGAGAACTCCCTCTTTCCCCAGGTGGATCTGCAGGGCAGTCACCTTCATCCTGATCCATAACTGCATATTTACTGTTTGCATCTCCCGCCAGACGCTGCGCCCCACGAGGCAGGCGCTGAGCTCAGGATCTCGCTCCCCTCCGAGAGCCGGACGGCCCCAAGCCTGGACCATAGTGTGTGCTCCACAAAAGAAGGAAAGGTCTCCTTTTTCACTTCCACTTACTTGCCGGATCCAGGCCTAGGGTCGCTGTTTTGCCCCTAGCTGCAGATCTGAAGTGGGGCTGCCCAACCCCAATTCCCGGACGCCTTTCACCCCAGCCCCGGAGACTCCAGCCCCGTTTAAATACTGACACTCGGAAACTCTCTTCTAACACTTGCAAGGTCCCCTTTTTACCTATAAAAGGCTCTCGGGCCGCGAGGCTGCCGTCAGAGAAAAGCCAGACTACTCCTGCAGGCACCAAGACAGTGGCGCCGCCCGCGCCTCCGGAACAGGAAACCGAGGGAATTAAAAAGCAAACCTGAGCCAGCTGGGCCAAGGGAGGGAAAACGCTTCGGCCCACCACAGGGGCTTGTACGCGGTGATTGGCGCGTCAACGAAAGTGATGGAAATCTAGACCAATCGTCAGCAAAGGATCCTTTGGAGCCCGCCCCCCTCTTTCTACGTTCTCCTATCCAAAAACACAACCGGGTGAGGGAGTGCTTCCGCCCGGAGAGGGAAGGCCGGATTGAGGCGCCGTCTTTCCCGGGTCTTCTCCAGCTGCCACCCGTTTGCTGCAAAGCTGAGAGGCGCAAAAACATGAGTGACTCCGCGGGAGGGCGCGCTGGTCTTCGGCATTACCCCAAGCTCCCAGTGTGGGTGGTGGAGGATCATCAAGAGGTGAGTGGACGGCGGCCGGGCTCTGGGGCAGAATCAGCGGAAACCGTGACGCTCAGAGGGCCAAGCAGACGGCGCAACCTTAGCATCGGAGGCCAGAGAGTCTGGCCTCCCGATTCAGTTAAACTGCCCGATTCCGTTGCTGTGGGGAGGACCCCAAAACAGCTAACTAGGAAGAATGAGAACTGACATTTATGGGCGCTTCCTACGAGTCGGGGCAACTTATTTACCTCGGTTTGCCCCCAAATCCCAGGACCAAACAACTGGTGGCGTCGGGATTCAAACCCGGACAGGCTGGCTGCAGAGCCCTGTGACCGTAACCTGCAATTAACTCTGGCTTCCAAGTGTCTCCTGGAATCGCCACCACAGCCCTGCTGTTTAGATGGGAGGCCTTATGCTTGAAACGTGGGCTCTGATCTGAAATGGGGACAGTAATCGTAGGACTCACAGGGCTGTTAGGAGTATTATTGTGTGCATATTGTGTTTAAAACTCTTTTTTCTTTCTTTCTTTCTTTTTTGAGACGGAGTCTCTCTCTGTTGCCCACACTGGAGTGAGTGGCGCGATCTCGGCTCACTGCAACCTCTGCCTCCTGGGGTCGAGCGATTCTCCTGCCTCAGCCTCCTGAGTAGCTGGGATCACAGGCACACATCACCGTGCCCAGCTAATTTTTGTATTTTTAGTAGAGACGGAGCTTCGCCATGTTAGCCAGGATGGTCTGAACGTCTGACCTCACATGATCGGCCCCCGTCGGCCTCCCAAAGTGCTGGGATTACAGGCGTGAGCTACTGCACACGGTCCATATTGTGTAAAAAAAAAATATATTTTAACACAGTGCCCTGCATAGATAAACACTAAAAGGGGTTTCCATGTTTATGGCCGTGCTGATTTACAGTAGCTAAATTGGTGTCTTAATCTAGACTTTTCCAAGTCAACAAAGGAGGCCCATGGATCTAATACATTTGTTTTAAAGTAGCATCAGTAGGCTTGGGATGGGAGGCGGTTCTATGGATGTTAAAACATAAGAGGGATTTACTGATAGTGACAGTTAATAGGAGAGGAAGATAGGTTTCTCAGGACCTGGATATAGTGTCTATGACCTTGAGAGAATTAGAAAGCCTAGGTTAGACGGTGCTTTCAAATTAGGTATTAAACCTAGAATTAGAGAAGATGTAAGAGGAGAAATGGCCTTTATGGACCACCTAGCCCAACTCCACCATTCTAAGAGTACCAAAAAGACCCTAACCAGTCTGGACAGCAGAGTGAAATCCCATCACTACAAAAATAGAAGTGAAAAAATTAGCTGGGCGTAGTGGTGCATGCCTGTAATCCCAGCTAGTCAGGAGACTGAGGTGGGAGGATCGCATGAGCCCAGGAGCCCAAGGCTGCAGTGAGCCATGATCCCACCACTGCTCTCCAGGCTGGGTGACTGAGCAAGACCCTATCCCTTTTTAAAGGAAAAAAAAAAAAATACTTTGAGACCTAGGATACCTTGAACACCTAGTTAATGTTAGAATAGGCATTAAGGGGTAGTTTGTTCCTGAGCCCTAGTCCTGGTCTGTTTCCCCACATGACCTTTTGAGTTGGAGATGGCAGCAGGAAGGCAGCTAGAGGTGCAGGTTGGAAGTTCTGAGGACAAAGTAATGCTCGAGATTATTATCATCTGCACCATCTAAAATACATTTTATCTTTTTCCACTTTTCAGCAACATAGTATGCTTTCAATTATGTGCATTACTTAGCATTTTTCAGTCTGCAGTTGAGTGTGTGCTCGTGGTTTCAGTGTTAATTCTGATTGTGTGCCTGTGTCTTTTACAGGTTCTACCCTTTATATACCGGGCCATAGGCTCAAAGCATCTTCCTGCCAGTAATATAAGTTTTTTACATTTCGACTCACATCCAGACCTCCTTATTCCTGTGAATATGCCAGCAGACACTGTATTTGATAAGGAAACACTCTTCGGGTAATATGTGATTTTATTCATGGTCTTTTGTGTTTGAAGTACAATTTGCGGTAGATAATAAGTAATTATAGGAAATAGACTTTGCTAAACTCATGGGTTTGGGGGTTTTTTGTTTGTCTTTTTGCCTTTTCATTTTATTTAGAACAAGTGTTGACAACTTTCTTAAAGAGCCAGGTTAGTGAATATTTTAGGTTTGCTGGCCATATGGTCTTTGTTGCAGCTATTCATCTTTGCCTTTGTAGTGTGAAAACAATCACAGGCACTGTGTAAACAAATGACAGTAGCTGCGTTCCAATAAAACTTTATTTACAAGCTGGGGATGGTGGATGAGCCTGTAGTCCCAGCTACTCAGGAGGCTGAGGTGGGAAGATCACATGAGGCCAGCAGTTCCAGGCTGTGGTCAAGCCTGTGGATAGCCTGTGCACTCCAGACTGGGCAACATAACCAGACCCCATCTCTTAAAAGAAACAAACCAAAAGAACTTTGTTTACAAAAACAGCCTGGCCAATATTTAATCCTTTTAATATTTGCCTTTATAGAGACCATTGGATTCTCATGTCTATTTCTGCATTTAGTCCATTGCCGTATGTTGTTTTGGTTGAAAAATATGATGAAAATTCAGGCTTTCACAGACATGTAATTGGAAAAGGAAAGCGTATTTTCATAGCCTCTTCAGATAATTGTGAATATTCTTTGATAGTGCACCAAAACTTGAAAAGTAGTAGTTTATTAAAGCTTATTTGAAATGTAGAATTCAGCAGTTCAGTATCAAGTGTGAATAACCATAGTTTATTGATCACTCCTTTTACGATAAATGGTGTTCACCTCAAATTTCAGTCACAACAAGTGCTTTTCCTTGAGACAACTGTTGTGCTTCAAACTGTGTAGCAGGAGAGCTTTCTGTGCATCCCTCATTTTGCCACACAGAATATTGTAAAACGTATACTCAAGATGGAAATTTAATAAAATCAAGATGTTCTCAAATGAAACTTTTATATTTATTTATTTATTTATTTTGGCAGTGGTTGGTAATGAGGAATATAGTAACTACTAACAGTTTGGTGCTGCTGCCTTAATTAATGTTGGAACATTAACCCACCCCAGTGTACCATCTTTGCAAATGTCAATAAATGAAAACAGGAAATAATACCTTAGTATTTTCATGAAAATAGTTTTGTAATAGTGATGTCCCTGAAAAAGTCTCAGGAACCACTCAAGGGACCACACTCCGAGACCTGTGGTCTTAAAATGTTGTGGATGAAATTACACTTGGGGAAAAAAAAAACACCTTAAAAGTTCTAATGTTGTCTCTCTATTTCTTTTCCAGAGAATTAAGTATTGAAAATTGGATTATGCCTGCGGTTTATGCTGGCCATTTTTCACATGTAGTATGGTTTCATCCCACATGGGCTCAGCAAATCAGAGAGGGAAAACACCACTTTTTAGTAGGTAAAGACACTTCTACCACAACAATCAGGTAATTTCCTCATATTTGTGAATATGGACGTGATTGAATGTTTCTTATTTCGGATTCCTATAATAACTTCATAAGTCTCTGCACACAAATAGGATCAGATTAAGCCTCGACTTCTCCAGAGAGTTCTCAAAACATGAAGAACAAACTTTTAAGTCTCTTGATGTTCTTCATGTACCATTTATATTTAGTTGCTGGTCAAATTAGATTTTGAATGTGATCCTCTGGAATTTGGGCTTCATTGGTGATTAACTCCTTAAGCCATTGAAGTATTTTATAGATTTATATATTCAGTAGTACATTTTACTGTTTCCTTTCAATGTAACTGTTGTCTGCTGAATTTGCTGTGGTGGCTGACACCTGTAATCCCAGCACTTTGGGAGGCCAAGGTGGGCGGATCACGAGGTCAGAAGATCGAGACCATCCTGGCTAAAATGGTGAAACTCCGTCTCTACTAAAAATACAAAAACAAAATTAGCTGGGCATGGTGGCGGGCACCTGTAGTCCCAGCTACTCGGGAGGCTAAAGAGGCAGAATGACGTGAACCTGGGTGGTGGAGCTTGCAGTGAGCCGAGATCATGCCACTTCACTCCAGCCTAGGCAACAGAGTGAGACTCCATCTCAAAAAAAAAACAAAAACAAAAAAACAGTAATTAGCAGTGAAAGGGCAAAATTATCTCACTTTGATTTTTTTATAAATCCAACTGCTGAATAAGTAGATTTGGGGCTTTAATTTTCTTGATTATAATATAATTCGTTTCAGATAAGTACTTAATCTAAAGTAAATTACAGTATCCTCTGACTTGAGATACATGTGCAACTGTTTTTATTGTGTAAGCTATTTAACCAATGTTTTGTGTATCTTGTGGTACTATAATACTTTTAGAAATATCAATATGTTCTTGACTTTAAAATTCTCTTGTAATGGGATAAATATTTTAAGCAATATAACCATAACATTCTAGAACCTTAGGGATAGTGGAATGAAATGGTAATACGTTGAAAATCAGATAGTCTTCCTCATTGAAAATGATACTTTATTTCCAATTTATTCTTAATGACACAATTAACTTTTGTAGTATATATTCTTATCATTCACACAAATGGCTTTGTTGTGATATATGAAAATTGTATTTATTTCAGATATAATTCAAAAGAAATAATTAAGACTCAGCATATAAATATTGTACATACTACTGGTATGTGTGAAATAGTAGTAGGGTTTTTATTGAGTACTT